ACTCTACTCTCTTCTTGTCTCTTAAGGTTACACATACCATGTTTCTTTCCATTGCTCGCTGCGGCGCCCTCAATTTAAGCTGAACCCTCTTTGTAAGTCTCCAGGTTTCTGCTCCGTAGCTAAGTACCGGCAAAATACAGCTGTTATATATACCTTCCTCTTAAGGGATAGTGGCAATCTACCTGTCATAATTTGAGAGTGCTTGCCAAAGTGCTCCACCCCATTCTTATTCTTCTAGTTACTTCAATCTCGTGGCTAGGCTCCGTTGTTATTACCTGTCCTAAATAGACATAGTCTTATACAACTTGAAGTCCACTATTACCTATCTCAAAGCGCTGCTCTCTTCCGAAATTGTTGTACATTACTCTCGTTTTCTGCAGATTAATTTTAAGACCCGCCTTTCTGCTCTTCTTGTCTAACTCCGTAATCATGAGTTGCAATTTGTCCCCTGAGTTACTCCGCAATGCAATGTTATCGGCGAAGCGCAGGTTACTAAGGTACTCTTCGTTAATCCTTATCCCTAACTGTTCCTATTCTAGGCTTCTGAAAACCTCGTAAAAACGCGGTAAATAGCATTAGAGAGATTGAGTCCCCCTGCCTTACACCCTTCTTGATTGGTATTATGTTGCTTTCTTTATGAAGCACTATGGTAGCAGTTGATCCCGTGTAGATTTCTTCAAAGGTGTTTATATATACTTCATCGAAGCCTTGATTCCGCAGTGTCTGCAGGACGGCTGATATTTCAAATGCCTTCTCGTAATCTATGAAGGCTATGTATAGTGGTTGGTTATACTCTGAGCATTTCTCTATTACCTGATTGATAGTATGAAAGTGGTCGATTGTTGATTAGCCTGTTTGAAATTCTGCTTGTTCCTTTGGTTGATTGAATTCTAATGTTTTCTTTACTCTGTTAGCAATTATCTTTGTAAATAGCTTGTATACTACGGAGAGCAAGCTGATGGGCCAGTAATTCTTCAAGTCCTTGTCATCTCCTTTCTTATGTATTAGGATGATGTTGGCATTCTTCCAAGACTCTGGTACTCTTCCCGTCATTAGACATCTCGTAAACAGGGTGGCTAGTTTTTCCGACACAATCTGTACTCCATCTTTCAGCAGATCTGATGTTACCTGATCCTCACCAGCAGCTTTGCCTTTTCGCATGCTCTCCAAAGCTTTTCTGACTTCTTCTATTATTACTGGTGGGGTGTCATCTGGGTTACTGCTAGCTCTTACTGTATTAAGGTTGTGGTTGTCCCGGCTACTGCACAGATCTCTGTAAAACTCCTCCGCTATTTTAACTATCCTATCCACATCGGTAGTTATTTTGCCGTCTTTGGCCCTTTGTGCATGCATCCGATTTTTGCCTATCCCAAGTTTCCTCTTCACCGCTTTGACGCTTCCTCTGTTCTTCAGAGCGTCTTCAATTCTCTCCATGTTATGCCTTCTTACATCGCATACCTTACGCCTATTAATCAACTTCAAAAGCTCTGCCAGTTCTATTTTGTCTGTTGTACTTGAGACTTTCATAATTTGACGCTCCTTAATTAGATTCTTCGTTTCCTGGGATAGCTTCCGTGGTTCAAATTCCGGTGCCGCGCAGTTCCCAAACGGATTTTACAAAATTTGCGTGGTGATGAAACTGCATTAAGAGGCCTGGGGTGCGGCCTCTTAGGCAACCACCCCTGGTAACACACTCCCTCAGCAGAGAAGGATCGGCCACCCTGGTGCAGTATCTGGCCGCCACCTCCCGCATGCATACGTCAATTACCTCACGGCCCTCAGTACTCAGCAGCTGCGAAGCAACTGACCACGGCGGCGGTCAGATCTGCAACGCAGCAGAGGGTGCTAAGAATCTCTAGATCCGGACAGGCCACCACTGCAACCTGAACTCGGCAACGTTTAACGCTAGAACCTTATCTAGTGAGGGAAGTCTTGCTGTACTATTTGAGGAGCTAGAGAGTGTTAAATGGGATTTAATAGGCCTCAATGAGGTTAGGAGGACAGATGAGGCATATACGGTGCTACAGAAGGGGCACATCATTTGCTATCGGGGCTTGGCTGACAAATGAGAACTGGGAGTGGGGCTCCTAATTAACAGAAACATAGCTGGCAACATAGAGATTTACTATAGCATTAATCAAAGGGTGGTAGGTATCGTAATTAAACCGAATAATAGATACAAGTTGACGGTGGTACAGGCTTACGCGCGTCCATCCAGCTATGATGGCGCTTCAGTTGAAAGCTTCTCTGAAGACGTGGAATCGGCAATGAGTAAGGTAAAAACGCAGTATACTATACTGATGAAAGACTTTAATGCAAAGGTAAAGAAGAAGCAGGCTGGAGACCAGGCGGTAGGAGATTATCGTATCGGTACTAGGAACACCAGAGGAAAGCTACTAGTAGAATTCGCAGAAGACAATAATTTACGCATTTTGAATACCTTCTACCGAAAACGAGGAAACCGCAAGTGGACATGGAGGAGCCCTAATGGCAAAGATAGGAACGAAATAGGCTTTATAATATGTGCACACCCAGGCATCGTTCAGGATGTGGAAGTAGTTGGCAAGGTACGATGCAGTGATCATAGAATGGTACTGTCTCGAATTCGCCTAGACTTGAAGAAGGAACGACAAAAATTGATACGCAAGAAGCCAATCAATGAGCTAGCACTGAGAGGGAAAGTACAGGAATTCACAGTCTCGCTTCAGAACAGGTACTCGGCTCTGAGTGAGGAAACTAACCTTAGCGTAGATACATTGAATGATAATCTGACGAGTATCATTAAGGAGTGCGCAGTGGAAGTTGGAGGCAAGGTAGGTAGACAGGACAGTGGCAAGCTTTTCTAGGAAACAAAGAATCTCATTAAAAAGCGTCAAATCATGAAAGTACATTAAAATAATCCCTTCAATAAAACAGTATACAGTGAAACAAGGTTACATCGGCGCTTTGAAAGGAAAATACCGGTTACTATTTGACCATGTAAGAGTAATGGTACCTTCATGATCCTGAGACGCTCTTATCACCCGCCCAATAGCTGAAATGTTCAACAAATTCAAAAATAACTTCTAATCAGCAAAATTCCGAAACACCAAAATATGAACCCCACTGAGTCCACTGTTTACGTATAACGTAATACTTTGCCTCACCGAAAATTCTGCCATCCATGCCGATCAGCGCGGAGTACGAAAACTGCGAAAGTCGCGAAGAGCAGATGGTCAGCGGTTAGCTCATCACGCCAACAACACCGCACCATGTCTGTGACTGATCATCAGAGACATGTGCGGGGTGCTCATCACAAGCTCCCCAGAGCTGTCAAACGATGACAGATACAATTCAGACCAATTTGGAGAGCAACAATCATATTGTCATTCCCCTTCGATGAAGCAGAACACCTTTTTGTATTTGATTGCCTGGTTGAGCACAACGCCGACAAATGGCACTACTTGTCGAGACCATCCATCTACTTGTACGAGTCCTCAACCTCACTATTTAAAGGTGAAAAAATAAATGTAGTTTTTCGTTCACTAAGTATTACGGCTTGTTGGCGTTAGCCGCTGCCCGATCTAAAGGGCACAGCCATACCAATCCATCAATCCATCCAATCCATCCATCCAAGTGTGTGCGTGCGGCGATCGGCAGAAACGTTCACGCGGTTATGGTGAATATGTGGCAATTCCAATGCTGCCCGCAACGCAACGTCACTTGCCACGTATCACGCGCCCACACACAAGGAAAAGAGAATGGGGCGCTCAACCAACGAAGCGCCGGCCAAACCCAAACAATTCATTGCAGACAAGCAGATGCTGCAGGGGCACATCAGTTCCGTGACTTCCGTCTCATGCAATAATTAGCGTCACGCAGACGATGCTGCCACTATTTTTGAGAAGTGAGGTAAACTCTAAATGTATGGAGCCAAACTGTAAAATCTATTTGAAAAGAATATGCCAAAGTCTCAATCCTGCAATTTGGCACGAATGGTGACAACGCGTAAATAAACATACCCAGTGAATTTCATCGAGATAAATTGACCTCAAAAAATCGCCGGAGTTTGCCTTCAACAGCGGGACAAAGCAATAGTGCGCGCTAAGCGATTGAGCCAAGAGAACGATAAACACAGTGTATTACTCTGCAATACATGCAACACAAAGCTAAGTCGATCCGGTTGGATAAAGATAATGTGATACAGATTTTGTAGCCCTCGAGTACACAAAGGCATGTTTGTACCCAATATTAAATGGGAACAGGACTTCATTTTGTATGTGTATGCTTTAACGGTAGTTGGTATTTCAGCTAACCTAGGTTTCTCCTCGGTATAAACGATCAATATACTAGATTTACCTGCACGTATAAATTTTTGTGTTGTTTTAATTGTCAGAGTAACATCGGTCACTTCGTATAGAATTCTTGTTTAAATCGCTCTTATAATATGATCTTCCATTGCGGAACATTTAAATATAAAAAGTTATTGGCTTCATTACACCGCCTAGTAATACCGAATCTCATGAACTAAATTTAATTGCAATCGTCTTTATTATGCAGTATGTAGAACAACTTAATTAGCTCAAACTGTGTGATGAATACTGATTATTGTGCGAAGAACCAGCTCTTATGCCTAACTATTAAAAATCATTGGAACTTTTCACCTGTTGCATCGCAATATTACTGCTTTATTCGATTTATTGTGCCATGAAGTCTCGTGGAGTATAGGTGTGGACAATACCATTTAATCGACCGAATGTATATTTTCCCGTCGACCCAGTAACATAACTTATTTGTTTACGCTGGTGCAGCGCAAGTGCACAAGAGGTTGCACTTTATTTTCAAGAAAATATACTGCTTTTAGTAATGAAACACGTTCATATTTTGCGTTTGACTACGAAACTTGAAAGAGTTAATGTGTCTGTGTGCCTCCTTCTTCTTGCATATACAGGAAATCGCTCTCGACATGCAAAAAGCAACTACCACCGTGCATCACTGCGTTAAAGAAAGTTATCGCTTACTTGAGAACGAGCTCTGGAGCCCGTGTGCGGATCAGAATGCCGATCTCTTCGTAGCTGAGGAAGAAGAGTAGGTCTGGTGAAGGTAGTCTGCCTTCGTTTACCATGCGCTTTGCCAGTTGGTGGCACATTAGCCGCAGCTGGTGTATGACCCGTACAATTGCAGACTGTAATACGCAACACATCCGCTGAGCTCCACAGTGCATCAAAATAAATCACATTTACATATCTTCGATACTCCACGAAAGTTGTGAAAATATTGAAACATTTATTGATTCTGCGCAACTTCTAAACACAGCACTTTGTTAGACAAATATTTAATTAATTTGTTTATTGAGATATGTGCCTTTAGCGTGACCAGGGAACCAATGGGCTCCAGGAACAAATAAAGATGGCAACGAGAAAGTATTGAGAAACGTCCAAAATGTATAGCCTCTCACGTGATAAGCGTCGTTCACAGACTACCATAAATCCGTGTTTGCACAAACAGCAAGCATATCCTGGCAGACATACATAGTATGCACCATGCACCTGGTGCGGAAATGCTCTGACATTTTTTTTTTTTTTGCACATGAGTAAAGTTATTTCAGCTCACTACAGCGCGCAAGACAAATTGGTCTGTAGAGACCATTTTTGGTCGATTCTGGTAATATACGACAAATTTGGACGTGGTTGCGAGAACCTGCGACTTCCCGATCTGACCATGCCAAGCGAGTTGGCGAGCCAGCGTCAGGTTCAGTAAGCCGCAATGGTTAGTGGCACCCTGAAGAGGGTCCCCGTGCACTGCTTCGTTTAACTAAAAGTTATTCTCTTTCTGTTCCCATTAGTAACCGTGACAAGCGACCAATCATCTAGATGTAAAGAATGAACCAAAAAAGCGATATTGAAACGTCCACGCATAGGAACTGAAACTTTGAAACGCACAATATTTTTTTATTGAAAAAATGACCTTGAACGGCTCCCCCCCCCCCCCAACATCCCGAATGCAGTACATAGAAGCCACCTTCGCACCTTTCACCGCCGCTTAAAAATATGCAGACAGCTGCACGTGGCACGTATCATTTGCAACTGGACCAAATCATTTCTTTTCCAACTCTTTATGACTAAAAATTTGCGCACTACCTTCGCCTGCTTCTCGACTTCACTGACAAGCCTCCGACCCATTGCCAACTTGCATTGACATACGTGCCGTGTCTGAATTTAGCACTAAGGCGCTAAGAGCGAACTATAGTTGATGACGTCGGCAGTTATCAATTGGGAACTTTAAGGGGCCCGTCCAAATAGCGGCATAACAAAAGATGCCTGCACCTATCAGGTGTAATGACATCAGCAAGTCCCAGCGGTTCACAAAAGCTTTACCTCATCAGGAATAGACTGAAGTGTTGTATGTCACGTGATGCTGGTGACGTTCCATGTGTAATGACTCACAATGAGCCTACAAAAAGGTCTAGAGTAAAAAAGAGAATGGGCCGAAAGGTGTGGTAGTTGTTGAGTTGTGAGCCGCATCTTGAAAAGTGTGTTGAAGATTGTTTTTCTTGTTTATGGTCTTTATTTCTTCTAGCCGAAATGTGGAGATTTTTTCGTGCTTTTCAAAATTACAGCTTCATTTTGAGAATGAACCCCATCGTGGCCATGGTTATTTCTGACCGCATTATCCGTACCAATTACAAACGACAAAAGTAGAATCATGATACATATATTACAGTGGCGAAGCTTGCGTAAAGCAGACATTTTATCTTTGTTGAAAAAAATGATAGATTTCAGAGGCGCTGACATATCGGGCTTGTAGCTAATGGATTCTCACTAGTTTTCTCTCTGTTCTATGTTTTTTTTTAGTTTAGCAAACTGAATTGCGCAAGTGGCGCGTGATGGTGTTCCCCGGTTTTTGTGGCATGCAACAGCGCTCCTCGCAACGCAATGGATAAAGTGAGAGTACTAGTAGAAGTTATACGTTTTGTCATGTTAGAAGTATTGATGAAGTTTCAATTCATCGTTTTAAATTACACAGTTGTCCAACTCACCTTGCCGGTTTCACGTGCTGCCACAGCACTTCGTGCTTGCGGCACGATAAGCTTCAGGATGAGTCTGAAAGCGGTATTTTTTTGTTAGCGTAACCAATCCACGAAACACTTTTTTGAAATTTTCGAAGAAATTTTTGTCAAAATAATGTGACGTCCGCGCGGCGCTAATTTTTTTATTCAGGCTTTACTAAAACTGTCGTCAGCACTTATGACATAAAACTGCAGCACAGAAGAAGAGCGAATTATGAGTTGTCTAACGCATGATACCATACGATAGCACAAGAAACGTTCACGCTGCTGCATTTTCAGTCACACAAAGCTGCATAGTTTTTTAGTGTTCATAAAGTAGCAATACCTTAAATATGGTGAATCAACGGCCTCGTTGAGAAAATGCATGGCTGTTCAGATTAACCCAGCTGGCGGCCATCAAGAGAGACTTATTTTTAACTAAGTCTTCAATTTTTCGCAGAGCGTAAGAGCATACACATGAGCACACACATACACCACTGATGCGTGGTATTTTATGACTTTGCTTCTCACATAAACTTACTCATGTTGCCTCCTTGCATTATCTGAGATTAAACGACTGCAGTTTGCACACATCTATTTTATTCTACGTGGTGTCGTAGTAATAAAGAAAAAAAACGTACTTTTGGAAAGCAGACAACTGGTATGCGCACTTGGATGCATTCCACGCAGGCGGTTCCTTTTTTTCCACAACTGGGGGAGCCTTTGCAGCAACCTTGGGTGTCGTAATGAAATTCATATTGCTTAACATTGCTTGGAAACAAAAGAGGCTGTAATACTGCGAGCAAATAGAACATCCGTGGAGGATATTGTCACGGGGTCGTGACGCGGAACTGCTAATTGGGCCGAACTTGTGGCCACGTAAAAAGAACGTCACATTACAGCAAGACACTGCCACTGACAGCGGCGAACAGAGCGTCGCCCACTGATCAACGGACAATCGGCGAAGCGCGTCGGTATCTATATGTGCCATCGAATATTGCAGCCTTACCACTGGTCGTCGCGCAATCTCTGGAATAATCTAGACTATTTGAGTCTTGTGCGCAATCTTAACAGAATAATCTACAGTGACCCTGAAAGTTCTCGAACTATGAGGGGCAGTTTGCGCTGAGCATTGCTTGCTGGCTATCTGGGCGAAAGCCGAAAGAAACGAAATCAATTGATTGATTTGTGGGGTTTAACGTCCCAAGAAACGGAATCAAAAATAAGAAATACGGGCGGCAATATATACCTGCCCAGAATACCTACTGGTAGTTATATTTGTCCACGAGGAGTTAATTTTGAAGAATCCTCATATATTACCTACATTACTACTTTTTTCAATTATATTCACGGAAAAAAAATGTCAGCAGTCCCGTTATTAAAAAACTTTACTTTATTCCCAAATCTTCGTGAGTTACCGTATTACCTGATCGCAGGAGCCACAAATTGTAGCTGCTTAGAGAGGTAGTGCCATCTAGCGGTGTAATCCGCAACCATGAAAGAACGTAACTAGGCAGGTGTGCTCTGACTAATCGTAGGTAATAACGATTCCAGTTGGCCTCCGAGTGCATTAGAATTTCAGCTGTTTCTGTCCAACGGCTTCAAGGATTTCGTGCAGGTGGCATGGTATGTCACAAACATGGTACGGCTGTTGGGGCGTGGCCACCTTTCTTCTGAACGTGTGTACTCCACCACTTTCACAGCTTTTATACTCCACGCTTGTGGGACCGGCGTCTCCATGCCATGCATGATTTCTGGTTTTTACCAGCTTTTACAGGACATAAAGAACGTACCACTCGGTTGGACTACTGTTTCAGTGTGCCATATTTTGCTCATTTAAAATTCTTGTCCTATTTGCTGAGTATTTCTGCTATCGGTGATGTGCCAGCAGAATTTCAGGAACACCATTACCTTCACATGGCCGCAATATCGTGAGAGTTGGCTTAAACAGATGTGTGGTTAAGAGAGCATCAATACCAAAATTCTAAGCTTGTTCCTACAGGGTTCACTCAATCAAGCTCAATAGCGACTTTAAATAAGACACTTTAAGAATTTCTCGAAGTGTATTTAGGTTGATACCTTCAAAGACTTGACCAGCGATGATGGATCCAGCGCCCATGGGTTTGTATACACGTCAAACTGAAAACAAATAAAGGAATGTCAGAGCAAATAATAATCGCAATTGTGACAAGAATATGTCGGCCCTTGGTCGTTTCGTGAGCGTTCATCAGTGTAATTCACACCCATATATATATATATATATATATATATATATATATATATATATATATATATATATATATATATATATATATATATATATATTGTGAGAATTCATTGTACGTCATCTTCCTCATCTATCAATTATTATCACCAGTCTTCGGCACGTTCCTCTTCATGATCGGCGCCATTTTGCTGTTGCTTCAATAAAGCGTCAGCTGCACCGTTGTATTTCAAGTGGTGGAGGTGCTTCCCGATCTCTTCGACCTCTCTCCATCCAAAGCCAGCTCCTGGAGCTCCGTTCGGGACGTCGCTTGCGCCAGCAGAGCACCATGGCCCAAGAGCAAGCCCAACCGAACCACTCGCCGGCGCAACCACCAGCCGCCAACCCTAGCCCTATATATATATATATATATATATATATATATATATATATATATATATATATATATATATATATATATATATATATATATATATATATATATATATATATATATATATATATATATATATATATATATATATATACACATGGATACACAGGCAGACATGCACACACAGGCAGACATGGATATACACGCACACACAAACACACGCCAAAACAAAGAAACAAACAAGCACTGAGTAAAAAATATTGGTTGGTGTCACCGCTTGATTTCTGGCTTAGATTATTAGCTCATATGACCTAATGTCACAACTTATGCGCCTTTGTTTTCAGCTTTTTTCTATTGAGTATGGTTAGCCTAGTTGCGCTTTTTGATAGGGTGTTGTTATAACTTCCGATGGTGTGCCAGAATTATCCCCATTTTAAGTAGGTCAGTACATATATATGCGCCTTAGCACCACCACCTTATAAGACTTCACCGGATTGAATGCGATGTTCGATGTTCTACCTGTCACTAATGTTATCTATAAAAGCGAGTGTTGAATAAACAAGAATTTTTCAATGAGTTGCTTATGGTTGTTCTATAATTGCAGAAAACTTTTTCTTATGTGCTCATTGCACAACTTTATAGCGTAATTTATGCACAGTAGGTTGGTAACACCTGATACCGGCTTACAGAACAAATATGGCTTTCTTTTTACTATAAAGGTTTGAAAAAAAAGCGTCTCTTACCTCCTTAACTGCCCTATGGCCGTGCTTTTTGATGAATTCTCGAAACTTCTGGCCACACTCATCATCAGAAGTTGACAACCACTCTGACGCTTCCTGTTTTAAGGTGAAAGCCATGGTAAGTACCCGTGATATCTAAGAACTCTCCTTGCTTTACTAATCGCCGCCAAAATGAACTAGCTTAATATGAAAAATTCAGCCGTAAGCAATTGTAGTGAATAAAAATGCCATCACACTATGAGAATAGACGTTTTCAAAATATCAATGCGTAAACACATTATGAATTTTTAAACGTCATGCAATTTTTAAACGTCATGCAATTTTAATTTAAACGTCATCTGCAATTTTTAAACGTCATGTTCATTTAATGCATGAACCAAGGAGCAATTTCTTATCATAACGCAGTACTACTGCGTTAAAAATTGTAGGCGTATGATCTGAAGTATGTTCTAGAATATTCTAATTTCATTTCCTTGCTTATTGCTTAGTACGTTCGAGATAGGCAGGCTTGTATCGAAGCTCTTGCAAAAAAAAAAACACTTGCAAGAATCTGTTGACAGTGGGTCGAAACGAGTTCACTTTACTGGAGTCGTGGTGATTATACGTAAATGGAGAGGCAATGAAATTGTCCTTCATGGTACTTACCTCCGTGCTCATATTTAAGAAGCGCTCCTTCTCCGGGGAGCCCCTGAGCATGCTGCCCAGCTCCTGAAGTTTAGAGGACACCGCACATTGCATGAATACAATTTGAACCCACGTAACACGCGATCGCTATGATAACATCACTAATAAAAAGAGCCAACCTGTAACAACAACAAAAAACGCTGGCGGAGCAGGATCATTATAGGGAAAAAAATGACGTGCTGGTAATTCTGGTGCTGGTAATATTCTGATAATACCACTACAAGGTCAACGCACCACTGATGTACATTATATTGGGATTGAGATTTAGTTACCAATTTTTAGAGACATTTCAATAAGTGACTGGGCACGTGCCGTGGCTCCTCAAAAAAAACATTGTGTATATAACGTGTATATGCAATCACACCAGAACAACTTGCATGTCACGTCTTCATATGATGATGATTGAGCATAAGTACACAGTATGCACGATTTACCTGTTTTAACTTCTGGAGCGAGCTCCTTCATCATCATTCATTTCATGGATATGCGGGAATTTTTTACCGCACGTTTTTTTATTTTATTTTTTGCGCACCAAGCCTCGTGTCGCGCTAAGATCTGTGTTTTCAGGATTGTGAAATTGTCCTTTACTAACACGTAAAAAACCGTTGCACCCTTTAGTGTCCTTCAAATATAACATTCATAAGAGTAGATCGTGGTGTGCTGCAGAAGCAAACTCTGAATCCAGTATAGTTAGCGTGCCATCATAGAGAATATGCGAGTCAGCAGCGCTGCGTGGCTTACCTGAATCATGCGAGGAACTCCAGCACTTTCTACGTCTCCTCCAAGAAGAATCTTTGACAGCTCACTGAAAACTTCATTGTTCAGTTCTGTAAACAGTGTGAACCACGCCACTCAGCGTAAGGTCACATTGACAAAACTTGTCATGAAACAAGAGGTTCTGCAAGAGTTAAAGCTGATACGACGTGTTGCTTGTGACAGCGCTTACATTATGAATGCAGCCACGCTGGCAAAATAATTAGAAAGCAGAACGCTTCAGCTCGGTCAACTGTAGCTGAAACGCATGTCTGACCACACTTAATGTTTGGTGCGTCACACTGCATGGCAGATGTTTAGTTTGTAATGAAATAATTCATACAACATATATATGAATCAAAAATGAAAATTATACAGAGTCAAACCTACATATAATAACTTAATGAAGCCAGAAAGAAACAACCGTATTGTCTTCCCGCTAGCACACGCATGTAATAATAATAATAATAATAATAATAATAATAATAATAATAATAATAATAATATAATAATAATAATAATAATAATAATAATAATAATAATAATAATAATAATAATAATAATAATAATAATAATCCTCATCAGTTTATTTTTATTATTATTATTTTTGTTATTCCCATTACTATTATAATATATTATTATTATTATTATTATTATTATTATTATTATTATTATTATTATTATTATTATTATTATTATTATTATTATTATTATTATTATTATTATTATTATTATTATTATTATTATTATAAAGCGATAATAATGCACCATAGTCTACGACAACCCACAGTGCATTTCACTAACCTCCACTTGCAGCAGCCAGTATCTGTATGATAATGAGATTGTACATCGATGACGTTGCAAATGCCTTGACTAAAAGCTCGGCCGGCTGTAATAAAGCAAAGAGGTCAGAATCAGAAAGACATTCCAGAACTAATTTCAATCTCTTGTGACAGCAAAACAGGCAGCTGTCACATAGCTTATTGATCAATAGGAACCATTCACTCTACATTGAACGTGATCACACATTTTTTTAAAGTTCTGCCAGAAACGGCCCTTTTAAAGGTTTGTAGAACATTAAACGCAAATGTAAAAAAAACTGCGTCGTCAATGAGTGCGACATTGTGGCATGAACCTGTTCTTAATAATTATTTATGAGTCGACTGGTGCTCTTTCGTTTGTTTTATTGACATTGCAAAACTATTATTTGGTTATACCAGTGAATTCAATGAAAAATTATAATATGTCTAGAGCTATTCGGGCTTTTCATGATTCCTGCTTCAGGTTGAGAAAACAGACTATCACGGGCCAAATATTGAAAAACGGGTCTAAAAACTATACAAATCGCATCAGCAGCGGATGGTACACTGTAGCATTGTGAATTTGCATAAAAGTTACAGCGGCAATGCTACTACTATCTAAGTCAAAGAGAGTTCATTCACTAAAGACACAATTGCACAACTATACATACAGGTGGTGACAAAGATGCATTTAAAATCTACGGCGTCTTTCAGTCTGAAACACTGTGTCAAAACATCCTGGAAACGTCCGACACCGTGACATTTTTTTTCTTTTTTACATTCAATACCTAAAAGTTCCTCGTCGTGTTTAGAGGAGTCTTGTATAAAAATAAAGATAACCTTGTCATATTTTGTTTCAAAAAAATTTTATTACAGCTTTCACAAAGATCTCTTCGACATAATGAACACGTACAACGTGCACGTTATTCAGGGCCTCGTACACAGCTATTTCAGGTACTCAGGCTATTAAACTTCATGAAACCGGCGTACTATATATTACCAGACAATGAATTAGCCAGTATCAAAGCAAACGCATCAGGGCCATTTCTATTGTTTGTTTTCATTGGACATTCAAAGCGCTGTGTGAAGACTTTCATTTTCTATTTAGTGCCTAACTAATAATCATTATGATGAAAAACGAGCACAAACATCGACCAAAATTAATATGTTCAAATAATGAAGAAGTTTTGGCTTCTGTCCACAAACCTTGTTCGCAGTAAATGTGGCTCAGCGAAGCTGGTTTACGTCTGATTTGGAGCATGATCAAGACACCTCTCAAGTGTCTCAGCATGAAATGAAGCAGATATAAACCCGCTATGCTGCATCATTTATTATATGAACAAGGCTTGCGTTCTAAAGCCACAACGTTGCTGATTCGTTTTAAAACTTTTTAGTCTATTCGGTGCTTTCTACGTTTGTTGCCGACTATTTATCGTCAAATCATTGACTAGCACAAAAATATCGTACATTTTAAATGGACAAAAAAGGGGATTGTCCGAGAACGCCTTGTACCACATTTTTATTCGATATGAAGCAAATACGTAAGGAGGGTCGCAAGGTATGGCCAAGGAAAATTGAGCGGCTCAGGTCATGCAGCACCCTTACCTCTCTCATGTGATGCAGGCTTCGGCCGATGTATACGTACAACTGCTCCGCACTGATCATTTCGTCGTCTGACAACTTCAGTTCAGCAGCTTTAGCAGCAGCTTTGTCGAAGTGTTTCCAACTAGAAAGCATCAGCTGCGAGATAAATCCCAGCAGAAAAAAAATTCATTCATTACACATGAAGACTCAAGAAACATGTCGTGGGTGCACTTTTCAATCACACTTACGCTTTTGTATTAGGCCACGTGACTTCACTTGCGATATGGCAATCATTCACACAACTAACTCTGTAAATGTTTAAAGTTAGGGGTTCACCAGTGCTTGAGCCAATAAAGTGAGCAATCTAGCGTTATTCCAAGGTAAACACTGTTTAACAGATGTATGCAACGTGCTTGAATCGCGTAATTGTCATTGTATGTGCTGTACAATCTGTTATTTCACACTAATACTTCGTTGAGATTCTTCGGGCACACATGGAGCCGACAAGTCAAGTGAAATGAAGTTTAATTACAATAACGCCTATTTCGAAACGTCGCCTTCTCTTTATAAGTACGTTTCTGTGCTGTAATATGTCTGTCAAATTTTGAGCTATCTTTCAGTGAGTGATAAAAACAAATGGCAGGTGAAAGGACGCATGGCTCTAAGGAAGTTTTACCAAGTGTACAATAGCTTCACCTTTGAGAATATTTTTTTTGTATTCAGCGTTTCAAAGTGCAAAACTAAAAAATAATATACGTTGTGCACACCACCCGGTGCTTTGTTACTGGAATAAGATACACTTGTTCATGTGCTAAACTGTTCTTGCTGGATAGCACCTATTCTGGGACAACGCGGTCCTATTCTCAAATTCGGGCACTCGCCTTAAATGTCGTCCTACAAGATACAATAAATTCGCTCATAATAGAGGTAAACTAACGTTCTTAGCTGTTGTCAGATTTTGTACCTGTCATTGTCGTAAAGCGTTCGCAACGTGAATGCTGTTGCTGAACACTTTTGTTACGCCGTATACTCCCGCTCAGAAATGGTTTCAATGCAGGAAGACAGAAAGAAAACGCAACTTACATCTTTGTCACGGTTTGTAAATTATCACTACAGTGTTTGTGTTCACAGAAGTACACGTCGACTGAATAAAGACATGTAAAGCTGTTGATTGTTCACTTCTTTGATTGCTGATTTGTCACACTTATTGATGTGAAAATGTTTGTTCACTATGCAATGCAAGGAATCTCTCACTCATTGCGAGTAGCAATGACTGTAACAAAGCATTATTGTTCCAATATCGGTTGTACTATTTGTTCATTAGGTGAATTTCACTCAGTTTTAAACATAACTGAGAATTGAATTGGCGCTAACGTTGAGTATTCATTTCTAAACTGTGCTATCGATGATTAGACCAATCTAAATTCAGTACGAGAACAAGACACACAAGACTCTCTTCACCAGTTGAACGAACTGGAAAGATAGGCAAGCCCTTCAGCAACTTTTGGGAATCTATGCTTTCCAGTGTCACTTAAAACGACCTTAGCGAAGACAGAACGCATCTGCAAAACAGTGTGATTCAGCGTAACTCACCAGGGAAGGGGCACAACAGGCACAACGCCTTTTCTATTTTTAGCCTTGCTTCGGTTATGGTTAATGAACATGTGGTTGCGTAATATTGACTGCTCCAAACTATACTAGAATACATACAGCAAGCAAACTTACGCAGTGTTCACCATGCCCCAATTCTTCCTTTCGGGAATCAGCGAAGGGCCCACTAGGCCTCCGTAAACTAACGTGCGAACCTACGCAGCTGTTCACATTGTTGATGCGTTTGCTGCTTCTGATGAATAAATATATTGGCGCACTTTGTATTAGGTAGGACTTTAAGCCGCCAACTCGTGTGATTCACAGCTAGGTTTTGCCACATAGCGCGATTGTACGCTTGTGCTACGAAATGTAGCCCGCATTAAGGAGACTCCACCAAGTAAATGACAATCATATAGTTTGCCAGTTTTTTTTTTTTTTTTTTGACGTAGGCAGCATCAATGCCATGGATTTGTGGTAAAGCACCTGCTAGCCACACGAAAGGCCTTGTCTTGATTCTAGCTCGAACGGAAGATCTTTATTCAATGCTGTGCACTTCAACGGCCCAAGATATTGCATGCTGGCTTCGTCTCAAGTAGCTTAACGTAATGTAGGCAAAACCACTGTATAGTACTGGGGCTTCGCATCGCGCACTGAAAACAATATATAGCATAGCCCCAGCATAGCATAACAAGCGTGCGTTAAATGGAAGCGAGGGTGTGGTGGAGTGATGTGAGGCTCACGAGAATAGAAAGAAGAAAAAAAGGGGGGGAGGGGGAACAGAGCATAGCCACGTAAGGCATTACGCAGTTGAAACCGTTCAAAACTGATTAAAAAGAGAGCGGGAAAGGGAACAGAAGAGAAACGAATGTCGTGAGGATAAGAAAAATGAAAAGGTAGAAGAGAGAACGCAAAGCATGACATGGCCATGTACGGCGTCGCTCAGGCAAAACGATGAGTACCTTAGCGAAGAAGACCAAGTGGACGATAAAGGGAAGTGAAGGCGAAGATGAGCGAAGAAGGTAAATCATAGCATACTGACGCACAGCGTTAAGCTGGCAGAACCATTAATAATACCGGTGTCACACGGGCATTTTCAATCCCGATCAGTGCGGATTCAGAATAACCAAGATCTGGATTAGGCGTTGCTACACTTTTACTTTTAATGGGAATTAGGCCCGGTCGCGATGAAGGCTGTCGCGATCCGCGGATCGCGATCTAGCTGAGAGATCGCGATTTTGTATCACCTTCACCTTCCTAAGACCAAGCTTGTTTAAAGCTAAACAAACAATAAAATCATGCGTAGTTCTGTGAGGACAGACCTAAAAAGCCAAATAATGCTTTATAAAAAAATTGACATTGATTTGATAGGATATTTACTGTAATATTTCATATTTTAGGAGTCGTATTGACCGCATGTATACTTATGGGAGAAGCAGACGATAAGCAGACGACAAGTTCGACTCTCGCACCATCGAAGCAGTTGGAGCACCTCGAAGCAAATTGATTATGAGTGTCGCCAGCTTTTCTATTACATCGCAGCGCACGCACACTTTGTGGTTGAATGAAGAGACATTAACAGTAATTGACCGCTGGCAGAAGCAACTGGAAGACTTGAGGCGCCAGAAGTGAAACTCCGGCGCGTACAACGAGGTTGCTGTTTCACTGCAAACGGACGGCTACGAGCAAATGCCATCAGAAATAAAAGTGAAGATTAGGATTCTCGCACAGCAATGCAAGTAAGTGCGAAGAAAACTCTACCGAATAATGGACTCATTACTTTTGTAGTCGCATGCGAAGTTTTTCATGTTCGAGCAGTTAATGCACGAATAACATAGTGCTGATAAATGGCTCTATTGAAATATTTTACGCTGCGTTTTGTCAATGACATGTTATACAGCCCGCAAGTGCCACCTGGAGCCCTGTCCCAAGCTCGAACAGATTTAGCTTAAGCTGTGCAGCAGCGGCCTTAAAGCTTCTCGTGATCAAGAAAACCATTCTGGTACACTATGATCACGAATAAAAGTACCCGTGTGACACGGGTATTACAGAGCTATCTATACCACAGTCATCTATCGCAAGGGGCTGATTGATACGTGGGGTTTAACGTCCCAAAACCACCATATGATTATGAGAGACGCCGTAGTGGAGGGCTCCGGAAATTTAGACCACCTGGGGTTCTTTAACGTGCACCCAAATCTGAGCACACGGGCCTACAACATATCGCAAGGGGTGAAGATAAAAGAAATGAGGGAAACAGTGTCCCATAATTGTATTGTGTAATCTCATGTACCGGCTTGGCGTCGTGTAGGCCAAACCACATGCAAAATAGCCAACTTAGGACAGGAGTAAGAAACAGAAACACGGGTGAGGATGAGGGCAAAGGGCAGAACATGGCATACGGGTCATATTCTAGTTCGGCAATTGCACTGAAAAGTCAGATCAGCACGAACAATAGTGACGTGAGAAAGATAAGGAGGAGGAGAAAATGGAGGAGAAGGTAGGGTGGCAATGCTTTTATTGCAGTTTCCTTTCTCGCCATGGAGGCCCAGCAGGCTACAAAGCTGGAACATCCCCGCTTGCCTGTGAAAGCGAGCGTATACTTCACGGAATACAGTAGCTTCAGCGACGCTCACCGGATACATTCGTCCTGTCTACGCCTACTCCGAAGTCTCGTCCTAAACGCAGTTTGATTTCACATAATCAGCCTTAAACAGCCGACCAGGCAACCCCTGAACACACGCTCCATGAGTTTGTCACTCAAGAATATTCCACTCATCGCTCCGCACTGTTTACAGCTTTCTCGCTGATTGCCAACGCACACATTTTTATTACATCTCGAGTTTTGGTCACGGACAACGCTGTTACTTTTTTTTTCTTCACGCTCACAACCAATGACGCTGACACTGGAATTTCGCAAAAAGAAGCTTTTTAATACTATCGTGTTAGACCATAAGGCATAAAAATGGGCACACCAAAACTACAGGGTAAAAATAAAGAGACATTTGAGAGTGCCATTGTATTGTGCTGGTTAAGCTATTCTTCTTCGCTAATCACTGTCATTATCCTAGCATTATTGGTGAAGTTATTTCCATCTTCTATCTATGACTGAATTGAAAAATATAATTACCGAGGCTTCTGGCTATGAGCTTTTGTAGAGAATAAAGAAGGTCAACGAAATAAGATGTCGACCCGAGGCACCTTCATTCAACTCTAGGAATTTTATTATAACAAATATTTCATGTCAAACGGGCAATGACCGGTTTTAATATCGCCATTGAAAATTGACGACGAGTATGTTAAATTAGGTGAAAGTATCATGATTTCTGAAGAACTTGGTGGGCCAATAATTGTCACGAACAAGCACTTTGTCAAACTAAAAACTACCCTAATGTCAATATTTGAAAAGCCTGATTCCCAAGTATTCGTTAATTATTTTGTAAATGTTATCAGCACTGGGAGACAACATTCCCGTCTCCACGAAGGGTTTGGACGTGCGAAAAAACAAAAGCGTGTCCTGCTTCTCGCCATCAACAACAACAAAAAATGCATACTCATCATATATTTCAGCTATATTAGAGTGTGAGAAAACCACGAAATGCACTTTACTGATGATTTTTGGTGCATTTTGCCTTCCTCAGCTGCCAAAGCAACTAATTTGCCGCTGACACGAAAGGCGAAGGTATTTTGTCCTTTCAGCACTCAATGTGAAAAATCTGTAATACAAGCGGTTCTACTTGCCGAAGGCTGCCCCTCTTACCTTGTAGAAATCAGTAGTACAGGTTATTCCGAAATGCACGTTGGGCACTCTAAATACAAGCAAGAAAGCGCACTCGCAACTTGTTCTCTGTGGTGTCTCTTTACTTCGAGCAACAAAAGGTACTCGCCTTCAAGGTGAATAATATTTGCTCTGGGAGCTTCGTTTTCTGCAGCTGCCTGGCTCTCTGCACGCCATCTGCCACTTCGTTGCTGACGTCCCGTCCCATGACGCTGTACATCAGTGACTGGTCGAGAAGTGATGACCCAGGCCCCGTTCGCCTTTGTCCCTGAAGTGTAAAACAGAACGATGAGTGCATGTGACAAACAGCGTCTCTTATGTCCAACTTCAGTTTAGTAGTTTTGCTTGACGACCTTATGAAAAGCACTAAAATTGAGTCAAAGAGAGCGGGGAGTGAAAGGTCGGTGAAACTTAATAGCACAGGTGCGTATGCAACACATGGAGCAAAATATTTTCCGTGATAAAGTAAGTCACCAAACTTCAAGACAAGAATTGTTTTATGACTTTATGACAATTGGCACAAAAACAAAACATGTGGGAACGAAAAACGAGGAAGAAGCACGTATTCATTGTTTTAGGAAGCCTTGGTACCCTGCAAGTAAACATGACATCTATATCTAGCAGTGTAAATTGCTCCAAGAAACACTGCCCCAACAATGATATGAGTGGATGGCAGAAATTTCGAGAGCCGAGCGATGTTTTCGCAATTGAGCACTGAATATGGTCGCTCCAATTCAGCTATGCACTTATTGCTTTTCTAAGAAAATCATTCATTCATATATATATATATATATATATATATATATATATATATGTGAGTGAGGAAGGAAGTGTATGCTTAAGGGCTCATTGTTTTACTAAGATCTAAGAGGCAATAATGCCAAGGAAAGTATATGGGAAGATATTAGACCAAACTGTAATGTAAATATGAAGAAAAGTGGCTGAAAAGATACCTTGCCGTTAGCAGGTTCTGAACCTCCGACCTTTGAATAACGCGTTCGATGCTCTACCTCTGAGCTACCACGGCAGCCATCCCCCCAGCCACTTTATTGGGTATATATGTCAATTTAAACGTAGGAGTGTCAGCCAGCGCTATCTGCAACCATAGCAGCGAATGTGGAACACCCTTTTATGAACCTGTGTGGCGTTACGTCGTACGTGAACTTATTACAAGCGGGCAACTGACCAATCGTCACTCGTATAGGCCTTTGCAAAAACTCCTCCCAAGACGCCACCATAGTCCTCTTTGGGCTGCGAAAATTGGCGTGACCCATCAAAAATCCACTGACAAGGCTGCGTCTTTGGCTTTTGTACTCCCGCGCGCAGCTCATCCTGGCGGTGTTTCTTTTCCTCCTGTGAAAAGGTGTATAAACGCAAAGGCACCACGTCTGCCAGTACGAGACCCTCGTTAATGAATCAAGGAAAGAAGTGTATACTTAAGGGTTCGTCTTTTCCGTGTTTTACACAACATTATTGAGATCTAACAGACAATAATGCCAAAGAAAGTACAGGGAAAGATATTCGACCGAATGAATCACAATGTAAATGTGAAGAAAGGAAAGTGGGTGAAAATATAAAGATAACTTGCCGTGAGCAGAAACAATATATATATATATATATATATATATATATATATATATATATATATATATATATATATATATATATATATATATATATATATATATATATATATATATATATATATATATATATATTAATAGTAAAATGCAGGTGCTGTTTACGGAGCATATTAAGAAAGCTCGTGGTCACGATCCAAAACAAAAGCCCATATTCATTACTTATGGCATAGCTGCATTTGCACCGGGTGTTCGAGTGTATCCTACGTTTCGAAATATAACACTTTGAGTAAAGCATACCACACTGCTTTCCACAAAGCTCCACACTCATATAGCGTACAGTACAAGTTTGCAAAGCTTATATGGCACTATCAGTAGGTTTCTATATAATTCATAGCTGTCAAGGCAATTAGTGTATGGGCCCCGACGTGGTGGTCTAGTGGCTAAGGTACTCGGCTGCTGACCCGCAGGTCGCGGGTTCGAATCCCGGCTGCGGCGGCTGCATTTCCGATGGAGGCGGAAATGTTGTAGGCCCGTGTGCTCAGATTTGGGTGCACGTTAAAGAACCCCAGGTGGTCGAAATTTCCGGAGTCCTCCACTACGGCGTCTCTCATAATCATATGGTGGTTTTGGGACGTTAAACCATACATATCAATCAATTAGTGTATGGGTACTTAATGATGTCTCCGACACTCTAAACGCTAAATATTTTTCCCTATATTTGTTTTCGTTTCGCGAAGCTGATGTAGAACCTGTCATGGTGCACATGGTATTTCCTCGTGAGGAAGCTTATAAGTCGATTGTGTGGAGTGTGACACTTGCGTCACAATGGCATATATTATAAGCCGAAAGCCAAAAAACTGTATATTAACAAAGTTAGTCCCGACGATAAAATACGAAGATATTTTATGCCTATAATATAGCGCACGTATTACATACACCTCAATTTCGTTCAGGCCTGTACAATGCGATTTCTTTTGTTGATATAGCAGTGTATTTCACATTTGTATTCGCCTTCAGTGGGGCCGACGAATTACCATCGCGTGACAAAATAGCTCTAATGTTGAACCGTGAATCACAATACGCCATGAAACACCATAAACATTAACTATGAGAACGCACGTACTGGGTCTAAAGAAGAAAGTAATCTAATATACAGCAGGTGACGCACGCTCTCGTGTAAGCGCATGAATACGTTCAAAGGAGACTTAGAACGATTGCGTAATTTCTGCACTGATCATTACAAAACATATGAACGCAGAGCAAGACCAAAGGTGGACTGCGAACGTTCAAAATGAAGCAAAGGTCATTTCATTGGTAATACGGTAAAGGTAGTTGGTTGGTATATGAGTTTTAACGTCCCAAAACCACCACATGATTATGAGAGACACCGTAGTGAAAGGCCCCGGAAATTTCGACCACCTGGGGTTCTTCAACGTGCACCCAAATCTAAGCACACGAGCCTACAACATTTCCGCCTCCATCGGAAATGCAGCCGCCGCAGCCGGGATGCGATCCCGCGACCTGCGGGTCAGCAGCCGAGTACCTTAGCCACTAAACCACCACGGCGGGGCAGTATACTGTAAAGGTAACTGGAATAGTTATTTGTATGCATTAACCACGGATCTGTTCTAGGCGTGGGCCATTCCAGAGATGAGTTTTGAGGGTTGTCGCAGTCCAGTTCCCAGAATCACCTTTAAAATGCAATTCCGCTAAGGTCGCAGACAATGCGGTAGCTGCGCATTCACCCTTGGAAGTGCGACTCGAGCGTTTCAACATCCAGCGTATCGAGCTTATCGACACGCTCCTGGCCGGCCATCTCTACTCTACAGATTACGTTATTACAAACGCCCACAGAAGTCGCAAAATATTACACAAATGACGAGAAAAATACAGACAACCTCAGTTCCACTCTTTGTCCAGATTTCACACAGAATTTAACTAGGGTGATTTTTTATTTGAACTTACGTCAGACAGCCACATGAAATAGTTGTACCGCTGCAGGGGCATCCACAAGGAATGATATTGTGTTGGGTCCGGGTCACAGGCCCTCACCAAACGTAAGCATAAGTCCTGCCGAGAAAAGGCACGATTACTTATACAATCCCGTGTATGGGACCACATTTCTCAAACAAAAAAAATGGTTGACACTTGAGCTTCGCCTCAAGAGTAGAACGCGATAGCGTGATCGAACCAGTTAGCGCATCAGCTTCCTTATCGGTTTCCTCACTTCGTTTCTTGAAAGAGAAAATGAAAGCCCCTCTGCGAAATCTCCACAGTGCGTGAAATCTGTGCTGTGTGAAATCTGCGTCCATGAGTAAACTTTCCTGCTCACGTATTTGGCGATGTTCAACGTTGGCGCAGTCACCGAGCGGACGTCCTATGCTTTAGTCTAGAGCACGAAATAATCGGCATGGGCTTGTAAGCATCCAGCAGGGAAAAAATTCCACTGTCATTCAACGTGGTGTCAGACTACAGGACCATCGACTACCGTCAAAGGCATATTTTTCAAAAATGAAGGCAAAGAATAATGTCCATAATACATCGACTAAGCTGTACTCGAACGCTATGACAACCCTCTAATGCATGTTTTTTAGATTTATTAGGTAGAGGACGGAGACAGCTGCTGGCATACGTAAGTTTGAATTTTTTAGAAAGACATGTAGCGACAGTCTGTATGACGTTTCACTCTCTTTCATGGGAGTAAAGTATCACCGCCATAACCATTACTTACGCTTACATCATAACAGCTAGTCGTTTTTCTTTCAGCTGCCAAAATCGAGTTATATGGCGCAGTACCTATCACAAAGATCATTGTTTCTAATGAAAGCAGAACATGCACAAAGGTGTTCAGGTGTTCGCTTGAGCAGACATTAAAATAAATCCAGATGACTAGTTCGACAGAGTATAATTCAGCACAATTTTCAGATATTAGTACAGGTTTTTATCATTTACTGTCTTTCATGTCGAAAACTATCATGCCACACTGTACACGGTTGGCGAAGAAAAAAGCTGCCAATATTTTCGTATGGCACAGTATGTCCACAGTTATTCGAACTATCATGGGGTTCCACCATGCCGACGCCATTCTGAGGTGGTCTATTGTATGAGTTATTCTGAACAGTAAGACGTCGATGCTAGATTTAAGGTTGTATCAACAAGAGCGTTTAATGGACTGAAGCATTCTTTCAGAGCGCGAAAATTTATATGGGTTTTTGTGCGGCTTGGTGCTACAAGCAACGGATCGATAGAATTTTTTCATACATGTCAATATTGCTCCCTTAAGCTGGCTTATGCGTAACTAACATCCGTCTATGTGTCAACACTCTAAAATAAAGCAAAAGTGGAATAAGTGCAGAATTATATATCACCCTGCAGTATGTGTCTATGCCAACGCGGATGAAGGAGTAGCTCAGTGGAGATGTTGCACCAGGCAACACTTCTCTGAAACAAGAACAAAAGAAAACTTTTCAGGCAGCATGAAAAACTTTCCTACTCAAGAACACTGTGGTCAGCCCTGAACGGCAGTAATAGAGAGGAGCAGTATTCAAACGACCATAATTGTGCACACACGGAGGCAGCCGCTCTCGGCAATCATTTCAAGAGAAGTGCCATAGCTCTGTCCCATCCCACTACTTAGTTGGGATTTCCATGACATTTTTGTTATGTAAATTTGCGTCTAAGCTTAATTTTCGACAATAATTATGGCTGAGAACCTCCGATGTTTCATTACAACTTTATGTCTCACATTTACTTCCAGATATGCAAGAGCCAATAGCAAGCTTTCGTAAAAACCGCGTTATCACTATATTTATTATTGACATTCGTTGCGGAACTTGCATTCTCTTTGGCTCGGTCAATGAACGTGGGGAAGGAGGCCTGTAAGGGCGATACTTGCCCCTCTCCCCTTCCTCATAGAAAAGCCTCGCAAATACGTGTCTATGCGAGCGACTACGCAGGAATGCACACTAAATGAAAAGTAGGTTCGTTTTTCAGTACAATAATACAAAAAATTTCAGCATTTAATAAACATTTATTTATTCATTTATTTATTTATTTACCTAATTACTTGTTTCACCATGCACTACATGGCTTTGTTGGACATTCGATGACTGACTTTTCTTTTTGCATTTTACCAGTTAGCGAACATATTTGTGGGAATATGAAATTAATCGACTGATTCTTGTGTCAAATTTTGAAGACGGCTGCATGAATGTTTTCCTAATAGGTGTTATTCAAGTATTTAGTGCTTATTTATGGCATGGTGGAATGTACCTTTACTAGTGATCATACGTGAAAGTAAACTTCGATGGAATTATTCATTCAAGTATGCCACGGTGTCACCTGCAACAGGGACGCAAATGTTGCCACGTTCCTTCCCTCAAGCTTTTTTATCACCCCGTTACACTACGTTCAACGCAACCCGCGCCTGCAATTTTCGAAAAGCTTCGAGGCTGTAGTAGATCGTTTTGTTAAGAATACGTCCACTTCATGAACATTTCAGATTATTCTGAAACCTAGGTCACCGCTTACGATAACGCTAGAACATTCAATGGCAAGTGTATAAATGCCGATGCGCTTCACCACTTGTCAGTTGATGGACGACCAACGCTTCGTTCACCGCCATCAGTGCAAGACTTTCCATTTAGCGGGCACAAGTTTGCCCAAATAAACAGTTCATTAATTGACCCGCAGTCTGCTTCATTCGTCCACGTCACGACTCCGTGTCAATATATTAGCTATCCTCACAAAGCATCAGTACGGTTTATGAGTGTTCAAGACGAGTGTATTTCATGTTTCCAGCTGCAAGGTAATGAAGAAGTAGGGGAGAGAAATAGGGCAAAAAAAAAGATGCATGTATGTATTTTGAAGGAAGCAGAGGAGCCCAAATGGTCGCAGGTCTTGCGTGTATATTTTTTCAGCACAACGAGTGTCAGGAAACTAAAAGCTTAGATATTTGAAGACTAGCATACCTAGTCGATTTTAAAGTTTGCATGACTTACGACATGTTTGCCTTGCAGAGTACCTCCTTCTCGCTCTTCAGGCCATTGTCGAATTCATGAATCATTTCACAGTCAGACTCCCTGAAGAACGTAGTAACCGGTCGACACTGAATGGAGAAAAATTAATTAAACTCATTTACAGTACGCAGGATTCAATTAAATTGTATAACTTGGGAAAATTAATTTACCTGCAGCATGAAAAACCGGCCGTTGCTGATCGCCCACTCAATATCCTGTGGTGTTGTGTAAGTCTTTTCAATCTGGGAAAAGAACGTGCACTATGAGTGGACCATTTCATCGGCATGATATGCATGTCAATTTCTACCATTTCATTCCGTGTTTCGAAGGATAGGTAAGAAGGCAAGCCACAAAATGCGCATCGTAACTGAAGTAGGGCATGTCCTGACAGCCCATTGCAAACTCGCTGGTGTATAGTTTCGGCCAGACACTGTTATATGCAGCGTTTTTTTAATCAATAAATTTTTATTGCTTTATTGAGAAATGTGTCAGTCAAGGGGAAAAACACCGCCATACTGTGGCTTGACAAAGCGCTGGTGTATTCTATAGCATCAAAATGAGCTACAGTAAAGACAATAAGTGGTTGTGCTGAGAATAAAACATATTTGAATTACATGCATTTCGACGGGAAGAAGCTAACAGCAAAAACTGAGAAGAAAACATGAAAAGATGGGGTCTTTATGTATCATCATACACATTGATGAGACGAATGACGACAAAAACAACAGTCGCAATTGAAAGTATCACGTACACGAAAGATGTTCATAAATGAAAATACGAAAAACTGTGGGGGGAAGAAATAAGTACTAAAATAGAACGAAATAAACGCATTATATATAGCTATTGGTAAACGATACGAATGTGACTTTCATTTCATTGAAATCTAAACTAAACTGAGCTGAGTTATCGAAGCAGTAGACAATTTTATTTCGTATGCGAAATTTATAGCTTCGGATTAAAGTGTGAAAAAAGGTAATGGGTGCTATAGATAAGAAAGCTACATTTGGAACACACAGCACGAAAATTCTTATGAAAAACAAACAACCAATTCGAATCTAAGTGAGCAAGGCACGTGCGCGCTTTAAAAATAAAAAAAAACACTCGGCGCACACGTATTATACGTAGAATTCTGCAGCCCGTGAACACAACTATATGTTACTCAGGAACAAAGTATTGTCTTCACTCGACAAGAAGCAGCTAAATGTGCATGTGAAAGCCGTGTTAGGGGCTACACCGTGTTTTGCATATTTGTTTAAGGGTGCAGCTAGTTCTAATTATGATAAAACTGATTCTCACGATTTCCGCAATTTAATGGCTTTATAAAAGGTTCGTGACTTCTTGTGCTTTTTAAATAGTGACGTCTCTTTAAGCTAAATCAGCTAAAGTTGGTAATATTGGTTCTTAACATGGTACAATACAGAAAAGACGGAATGCGCACAGAAACTTAACCTTCAATATATTGAATGCTTGACAACTAGAAGGCCGTGTGAATTTCTTAAGAAAAGTTGCCTAAATCATCACTTGCGCGCAATCGAAATACACCAAGATTTTTCAAGTTGTCGACCAAATACGCCATACAATGATGAAACTTCTGAACGTTAACAAAATACTCGATTGTATACCAAACTTTCCACTTTTTCTAGCAATATTTGATGTACTTTGTTAATCAATGCGTTGATGGAATATATTTTGTTAGAAATAATGCGCATGCTTATTCCACAACCTGTGTTTCTGTAAAAGTTCTACCAGCACTTTCATCCCGCTAACAATACTACTTCCGTCATTATTAGGGTTCAAGATTTTCGTCAGTTCAATGGCTGTATGCGTTGTGCGAAATTTGTGGTGGTTTGTGTTCTCTTTTTGCTGTATATATTTTTAGGAATTTTTTTTAAATCAGACGAACACTTCTACAAGCGCCTCATTTATTAACGATCCCCTACCCGGCTTTACTTCACTGAAAAAGAAGAAGCTGGTATCATAGGCGTACTCTACCGACTTACAATGATTAACAGGAGTAAATGTCGTTTATAGGAAGGATGAACGACAGTGAACGGAGTTTACCCCCTTGGAGAACTATGGACTTTGCGTGTTTAGTCTTTGAAATGAAAGTGTCATTGATGAGAAATCGGCTTTCAATCTGAATGCATAAGCGCAGTTCAATGGACCTCATACCGATGTCATAAAGTTCTTGATTGTGCAGTAGTAGATTGTGTTGCATATAATAGAATATTTTGAATCGATGTCACTTCGAGTACAGTATTTTTATCTTCAAAACTATCGATAATAGTTTTTAATAAGGCTCTTTCTGCTAATTTCCCGTCGAAGAAGCCACGCTGGACCAACAAAAAAGTGTTTGTTCGAAGAGAGAAAAAGTCGTGCTTGCAGTGTTTCCCAGGGTTTCCGACAAAAACTGGAGCGTATTTAGTACAAAATTGTTCAAAATTTTTTCATCGCGTCGTAATGTTCGGTTAGGTGAAATAAATTTTAAAAATAAAAAATACCAAGGTTTGTGTACATGCTATTTCTCCCTGTCCCCGCGAAATGATGAAAGTAGCGCCAATGCTACAGTTATTAGTCAGCTTGCCCTCGGGTTTTGTGTCATGCATCTGCCGAAAGTCTCGGCATTGAACAAAAGGTGATCAAAACACATAGTTTAAATTATCGGGGTATAAGTGTAGTCCTGAAGAATTTACTATATCTTACCTGTGTGCCTATGAATGCCAATGTCTCAACGTCTTCTTTTGATATACATGCACTCCGTGCTTTTTCCTCAGTAACTGGTGCCGTGACGATGCCATCACCGTCTGCAAGATGAATCGAAAGATCGAAATGCTCAAATATGTTAAAACATTTTGGTAAACATCATAAGCACTGTAAGAAGGCTTTGACTAGTGTCTTGGTACTTTCGCAATAAGGTTGTCGCAAGTGCACCCACATTTATACGCTGTATGATAGAGAGCTACTCATACATTACTTTGTATAAACTCGGCATTAAAAATCTTGTTTTACACTAGATGTAAAAATTGAACGCATTCAAAATATTATAGCCAACGAAAACTATCAGAAGACAGCAGTATCACGGCTTTTATGGCATCAATTGAAACTGGCGTTTGATTGTTTCACTGCCTGGTAGCCTGCGCTACCTCTAATGCCACGGAAACAAGTGAAGATCACAGCAGAAAATCTTCAAAGGACATGAACATCGTCTGCTTTACGATTGTCATTGAAGAAGAAGCGTAAGATAGTTCGAACTGACGCATGTTGTTGAACTCTGTCCCCGCCTCACTCTGATGTTGCGCATGTTCAAGAGTACCGTGAGCCTCAACAAAACTTTAGAGCTCTAATATCAAAAGCAACTGCGTCATTTTCAAAAAGGGCCCATGTTTAAAAAGAACGCACTAGTATTGTTAACTAAATATTTTAGTTTTTCCTGCTGCTCGACATGTGCTAAATCTGAAACGACCAGCTACTCACATGCAAGCTAACAAAATAATATACTTGTGGACATTAGTATAATTTATTAGAGTCTGGTCGTTGGGTCTTGTCAAGCTACTTAAGTAGCTTTTAACAGAGCGGAACAATCCAGCACGTATAATCTGGAAAAATAAAAATCGAATTGACTTGAGTTGCATCGACTCCAACCAATGTGTATGCTCTTTATGCCACAATCGGTAAATACATGAGCGGCCCTTCGCATAATGCACATCCCGGGAAAAAAAACCATTCGGGTTAGCGGGAAATGATTTGTTTTTTACTACAAAAAAAGTGTTGCGCTATAAAACAGACAAATAAAGGCAGCGATGCTCGTGCCATCCTTTTCTCTTTTCGGCTCCGTGTTGTAGTGCACCCCATTTTTTAACTTGAGGTAGAATTCCAGAAACTCCAGCTCTATGTGCCTATTGTTTAGAGTCACTTCATTTCTAGTGCATTTCTCAACATCTTTGAGTTCATAAAACCGCTGATTACTTATTAATCAAGTAGGGTTTTTTTCTTTCGGCTTTCTTTTTTAGAACATGCTTCAATGACCGCAAATTATCCAGTGAGCTCTTCTTGATTACCTCATATATCTGCCTAATTTTCTAAGCATATCTCTGTACTTTGACCATCATGTAAATTAAAATCTGCTTCATTTTCAATATGCTAGTTACATTGCGTTCTTTAGAAACGTTAGACGCTACGGGTCCTTTGACATTGGACAATTGGCAGGCGTTCAATGCACGTATTTTGCAGGCTCACCTGAAGACATCGTATAGACAGACTTGTGGCCTAGTTGTGTTGAGATGATCACTGGTCTGGTCACACCTGCCCTTTTGAGAACAAATGTGTCAGGTTCCGCTGTCGCAGAGACCACTGACTGCGTGTAACGAGGCACATCACTCGTAAATGATTGGAGGCAAAAAGAGCACACTCGGCACACAATAATTTCGGTGCGCAGTGTACGAATGATTTCGACACTTGTTATTTTTGTCAGCATTTCTTTTTTCAAGATAATTTAGGTTTTCTAAACAACCATGGTATTCAATATTGTCACCGCCGTCTAATTTGTATCTGTAGCCATCAGCCAAAACGTGTACTTCATGTATACCTCGATTTTCTACATGCAGTGTGCCTGACAAATTAGCTTATATTATTAAATTAATTAAAATTCTTCCATCCACATCATCCGCTTAACGCCATGGCCATTTTTTTTTGGACACATGGTTGGATGAAACAGAAGCAGTATACGGCTGTTAGCAAGCGTCAGTGATAACCGTTAAAATATTTCTCTGTCATCAATACTGGTGTTGTGCGCGCAAAATGCAACATCCTAACCGGATACAATACAGTGGTAGATGTACGCCAACTATTCTTTGTACACGCACACGTCGTAAGTGTGATGGATCGTTAAGCTTTATTGACAGTTCTGAGAGATGCGACTAGCACGTATATAGTGAAGAACAATTTTTTGTTGGATAAGTTGCAATTAAACCAGTTCAAACACGGCGCAATCTTTATGGGAAGTTATAATTGAGAACGCAACTACCAGTGAAGTGTTCTCCAGTTCTTGGGTCGACAACATAGCTAGGTGGAACAAATGTACAAAGTATTCCAGTTAAGGAAGAGGCAGATGCGGAGCTAGATTTGACAAAGACATTGCAACCCTGAAAAGACCTTTCGAATGGCTCAGGCATATTTCTCAGTCAAGTAAAAGAGAGCATCTGCTAAGCTTACCTCTCCAAGACCGTAGTTGGCGGTCACTGTGATCTTCGCTGGGCTACCGGTTAGCGGATCGCAAGTGAACATAACTCCAGCGGCATTAGCATCGACCAGTTCTTGTACCACCACTGCCATCGGTACATTCAAAGGCTGTCCGTACTGTCTGCGTGTTTATAAGTTTTGACAAGAAAGTCAGTGTTGTTAGAGAACGTTACACATAACTGTTGCAGCACTGGCCGAAAAACAGACGTGTTCAGCATGAAACGCTACTCGTTTACCTCGTGTTCCTTGCACATAAAGTAACTCTTTTATCTTTGTGTTTTAACAAGCCTTCTTTTTTGTTTCAAATATTACAAAAACTACAGGAGCCAAAGAAGCTAGCAGTTTTAGTTTGTCGAGCGTATCTCCTTGCTTATTCTTACACTCCTAAAAATAAACTGCAGCGCCATATGTGACCCTTTCTTCGTCGGGTGTCTGAGCGCTGTCTTCTTTTTTTTATTTTATTGTGGAACACCACCCACTTACCCAACCTGCATCTCTTCTTATGAATAAAGATTGTTTTTTCGCTATAGGGGTCACTCTTCTCCAGCGATGAAGTCGTATTGTGTGCCTTTTACCTAATCACACCACTTTAAATTGTTGCCAAATGTACTTTATAAAGTTTATCCGCCATTCTAGTACAAAATCGCATAATGATTCATAACTAATATTTTGTGCATTAGCACAAACAAAAGTCACGCCAAAGTTAGTAACGTGAAGGACTGTATTTCAAGCAAGCCCTTGCAAAAAATATAAAAGACCATTTACGAATAAAAAACTGACATGTATCCCAACAAAGCTGATCTTTCACATACTGGCAGAGCTATGTATATTATATATGTCACGCAAAAATAAACAGAAAAATCAGCATTCCGGCTCACCTTTTATAGTTGACGTTGGTGAAACTAAACTGCGACGCCCAACACTTCACCACGCCGCTGATTACCTGAGTGAAAACACATTCGGTATCATTGTGTATCCACTAATTAATAAACAACAGCCTTCGAACACGTATACGAGCGTACTTTCTCTCTTCCACGCAGGCCAAGTAGAGTCGTCATCTGACCAGCAGCTGACATGTCCTCGGAGTCTTCTCCTGTACCGAGGATAAAAGAAGATATTCATTCAGGGCTGCTCGCACGCATTTTAATGGAACTTAACAAAAATAACGCTTAAAATGTTACCTAGTGCGGAAGATCTGACAGCAAACTTCGTATCCACATTAAATTTTGACAAACGCTGAGCAATTTCGTCAGCGATTTCCGCAGGCACTTCTAGGTTTTCGATGCCAGTGACCACACTGCAAATTGAACAAGCAGAATAACTTGGTGATGAACAAAACTGACACCAAAATGCCTGGATAATGCATGTAACTTATTGCACTGAGTTGCTTCAATCTGCACATAACCCATAAAGAAATTCGTATGGCTTCCTTGGAGAGATTAAATGCGCGTGTAAACTTTTGTATGATCTATGGAATAACACTCGCAAGACACATATTTTCAGACGCTGCTTTGTACATGGTGATACTTATAAAAGTCTCAATAAATAGCACTACTTGCTGCTGTCATACACTTTTGAACCAGTAATAATGTTTCTGGCATACAGCTAAGGCATTGTTTCACAACCAGTGTACATGTCACGTAGATAGTGCAATGTATTTCGGTATGTTGCCCCCTAGGTAGACACCAACTTGCTTTCATGTACGTTTTGCTTTTATGGGTAAACAGCGACCCTCTCCTAATAAAATGCGAGAGCCAGTATAAACCTGCTATGAAGCTGACAGCTGCTTTCTTCAATAATAATCAAGTTAGCTCATTCCGCACACATATTTTAATAGGTTAACTGACATTTGGAAAGTTTCAAGTGACACGTTTCGCTGAATGACCAATTTTTTCGCAGCAACTGCTTTCAGATTGAACATACCAACTGATCTGCATTTATTACCTGCGCCAACGTCCTGCATAAAATGGAACTATAAGCCGACAGCCACACGTTCCAAGTGCTACACGGATATAAACAATTTAGCTGTAAGTTTTTTCTGGGAACCCCACTTGCGAAATCATTGCTATGTTCTTATTTTAATCATCCGTGTCAAGGTTGCGCATGGTCGGTTTTGTACGCAAGTAAGCTATTTAAACTCGCCCAACTCGTCACTTAGCTTTGCTGCCTACGTGATGAAAAAGAGATTATAAAAAAATTCTGCAGATCCCACCTGCCTCGGGAATTAGTGTTGTGCGAAGCATGCGGATGTAAGGTGACTGCGTTGTGATGTTTTATTGACCAGAACGTTATGAAGTGCCTCTAAAAATATGTACAAATGGACGCACAGACACACTCTATAAAGCCATTTAGCTTTTATATAACCACTTCTTTACAATTGCACAACGATTCCAACAACAACGTGGCTATTATTAGCACCAGAAGCAATAAGGTGATATGAAGTGCTGCTGCTCATGAGGAAGGTAGCACTAGACATTGATACATAAGTCAACTTCAGTGGAAGGGGCTTCAATACAATTGACGTTCAACTAATGTGACAGCTGCATCTTAGCCGTACTTATTCAACGTTGATAAAATAGCATAGCCAGCACTGCACCCACACTTGATGTTTCATGAACAATAGGGTCTATTTGAAAAATAGTTCTGAGACCTAGAGCGGCTCTATTGTAGATTGCTTTATCGGCACGCAGAATACTAGGGGGCTCCATTTCTGCTGGGGCCCCTGACAGTTATTATTTGAATTCATCGGATAAACGGTGCCAATGTCAGCTTTTTCTTGACACTCACGTGTTAAAATCACCCATGTCTGTTCTCGTCGTCTCTTGGTCGTAATGAACTCTCAATCACCTGTAGCAAGTACCTGCATACTTGTGGCCAATTAGTTTCATACAATAATACTTGGAGATGATTCTGACACTGGAATCGTGTGACGTCATAGAAATTTTGGTAAGTACAGTTTCCAAACTAGAGTGCGTTAGCCATGGGTCCTTTCCTGCAGTTTCAGTTTCATTGTTTGCGCATAGTGAGTAGTGGGGTGAACGCAAAGCACCGAAGCAGCGCCTTGGTTGTTCAAACAAGCTGAACACCGCTAGGTCTCTTCGTTTGCTACGGCATTGGAACTTTAAAAGTCATAATTGGCAGTTTAAGTTAAGCGTCCTCCACTCACCGCTGCGCATAGAAGTAGCATCCCATGACAGTGCAAGATATGACATCGAAATCATGTTGTTCATGAGCACGTCTTGCCAAAAATTGTTCATATCGACATCACAACAAAACGAGAGGTGCGTGGGGTGCAGACCACTTGAACAGACGCATGTCATTCAAAAGACGAAGCTTTGAGTGTGTCTCACCTAATACTGTACTGTTTTTTTATACATAAGTAATACATACTCCAATGATGTAAGAATAATTCATTATGGTGTAAAAATATATAATTACATCTTGATTCCAAATTTGGAACGAAATGGCAAAGCAATACATACACTGACAGTTAAATTTGTCCACGTTTCAGTTCTATCTCACGCCCACGGAAAACGTTTTGTCGTAAGTTTTACGTTCAAAATAATGAAGCAGGTTTGGATGGAAAATAACATTATGTTACTTTGCTTCACACTTGGAACAGAAGCACTTTGAATCTCGAGAACCTGATTCCTCCGAAGCGGAACCGAAGCTTGTACTTCCCATAATTTCTATGGAGGGGCAAGTGCCGCTGAAGGAGCCCGCGTAGACACCAACGCGAGATTCCCCACTAGGTATTACTGTATGAAACTATTATGCTCGTAGCATGTACCTACCCCCGCGTATGTGCCATGCATCTAGTGGCAAGCATTTCGCCATGTACGCGACGGTCCATGTCCTGACCAGCTAGTCATGATGGCCAAACGATCTTACCCAGCCACACTAATTTTGGTTTATCAAACAATTAAGCGGATGATCACGAGATCACCCAGACGTAGGTGCATAGATAGATAGATAGATAGATAGATAGATAGATAGATAGATAGATAGATAGATAGATAGATAGATAGATAGATAGATAGATAGATAGATAGATAGATAGATAGATAGATAGATAGATAGATAGATAGATAGATAGATAGATAGATAGATAGATAGATAGATAGATAGATAGATAGATAGATAGATAGATAGATAGATAGATAGATAGATAGATAGATAGATAGATAGATAGATAGATAGATAGATAGATAGATAGACAGATAGATAGATAGATAGATAGATAGATAGATAGATAGATAGATAGATAGATAGATAGATAGATAGATAGATAGATAGATAGATAGATAGATAGATAGATAGATAGATAGATAGATAGATAGATAGATAGATAGATAGATAGATAGATAGATAGATAGATAGATAGATAGATAGATAGATAGATAGATAGATAGATAGATAGATAGATAGATAGATAGATAGATAGATAGATAGATAGATAGATAGATAGATAGATAGATAGATAGATAGATAGATAGATACTGTGAGAGATGCTCAAAGTGTCTGCAGTACCCAAACAAATTTTTCACACTTAAAACAGCGTACAGGCGACAAGAAAAATTAGTGTGTCATGAAGTGGCGATGTACGTACCCCGGCTGCATAAGTAATTTTTCAATCCAAGTTGTGCTCAACAAAGCCTGTACTTACCTGTTACAAACATCCTTTAGGTCCGCTTGCGTGCTGTCCCTGCACAACATGTTAATGTTGAGCAAAACAAGTGAGTAGATGAGCAATATAAAAGCGCGTACTCTTCACATATGAGTCAGAATCACAGTCAGTTCAATCTTAGCTGGGTTTCACAATCACTCAGAAAATTCGGCAAAATTAGAGACAGCAAGAATGTTCAAACGAACAATAATGTAAGCTTTACGTTGAATAGTGCGTGAGCATCTGTTTACTGTTTAATTAAACACAATGTAGTTTTCACAGGTCATGCATTATAAGAAAATAGCAACATGGAGTTGAAGACTACGAAACGTATGACGAGTTCATAAAGAAATAAGGTGTTATTTTCAAGAACCGAACCGAATGACCGTACCGAATGAGCAGTCTTGAAATTATATAGATTGCATGATCGCGTTAAGACAAAATGAATTTATTAGGTGAACGCCATTTTAAATTATCCAAAGTATCACAAGTGATTGTTTCCAGCACATGGCCATACTTTTTTGTTTAGAGTTATACGTGACACTTTAAGACTCTAAAAACGCATTAAGCAAGAATTACAGTACGGATGACTAAGCAAATTAGACGGGCACTGGCTTTCGCCATAAGTGTATTGAACGACAAGCGTTATATTCCAATGTATATAAAGTGTTACAATCTGTCACTATTTTGGATAGTAACAATGACAAGCACAACATGCAAGAAAGAAGCGTGTTTCGGGATTTTTAATATGAATGGACAAAGTTTTCAAATATAAGTATCGGCTTTACAGTAATCTTATCGCCAATGAGAGCTTCGCGAGCGTTTTCAAGACGTAGCGAATATTCACCTTTTCCGCGAGTCTTCTATTTTTCTTATCAGCTTCTGAAACTCTTCTCCTGAGGCAAAATGCTTGTAAGACTCGGTGGTTACAATGAATCCGTGAGGAACTGTAAACTGAAAGCGTGTTGAACAGACAAATGAAACATCGCTGTTATTTCAAAAATGACATGAAGTTAAGGCTCCAGAAAACCCTTTTTTTTCAGCAGTAACTATAACATTCCTGAGGTAATCTGAGCGTTGTATGTTGCAAGTGTGCGCTGTTAAGATAGTCTTTACTTAGGTTGTGCTAAATGATTCATCTGGCAGCTGCAAAGCCAACGAATCTTTTGTGCATGCACTGAATTAGACTCAATAGTTTCGTAATTCTTTTATCAAATACACCCGATGTCTACAAACTTACCGTATTGAGATCAGTAGAGATTGAGTGAAGTACAGACAGAGACGACCCCTTGCCTCCTGTGAGGTCCGAAACTTTGCTGCATCTTTCTTGGATATCCGAAACAAGTGGGGCCAACTTAGTTACGTCATTTTCTGCAATGCAAGTAGAAACGACAATTATGGCATATGGTGTCCGCCACAATCAACTCAGATTGTACACCAGCAGGCTCAGGCAGAAGTTCGGATCTTTTTTGTGAAGGCACTTCCAATTGCCAGTTTTTTACACTAACTGTGTGATTATTTCGCACAGAATTGTGATATTCCTTGCATTAAAAAAGAAAAGCAAGAAAGGGTTACTACCCGGACGTCCACTTTCGCGAACAGCCAATACTTAGTGCTAAACATAATTCTGGAATACCCACTGTCTCAGCATTTTAGACTGGCAATAAAATTATATTAAAGTTTGGCTTATTCAGTAACTTCTTTGACATTTCGTGCTAGCAGAGGCTTAGACTTGCACTTACCATGAATTATCTTGTGCTTGAACTCGCCAATAACGTGATGACTTCTGCGTTTTCGCCTGGAAGAAAAACGTAACGGTAAACATACTCCACATAAATGTACATTTACGGCAAAAGCTGCACGAAACCACTGCTTGAATAACTAAGCACACCTTATCATCCCACGCAAGTCGGTCATCATGCAGTGTTACATAAAATCATGAAATGCTTAGAATGAATGGTATCAACGCTTCTCCTTCCCCCCCCCACAAATATATATATATATATATATATATATATATATATATATATATATATATATATATATATATATATATATGTATATATATATATATATGTATATATATATATATATGTATATATATATATATCTTTTTTAGTTGTGGTAACAGGTTCACCGCTTAATAAATACGTTCACACGAATACCCTGAGAGCTTCACCATCACTACAACCTAGGTATAGGACGCTTCTTCACCTATACATACCCATCATCACATAATGTTGTTCATTTTCATGGTTAGCCGGCGCAACTTTTGAGTCTCTTCTGTGTCAAAGATGTGACTGCCTTGACCACGTCTACCAGGCCTAATAAAAGTGTGTAAAGCACTACATCGCAAGTGGCGGAGGCTGTGCCTTTAGTTCCCGTCCCTGCTCGCCCACTTTAGTTCCTTAATCTTTGCTCAAGGCACCGTTTGTCCACCAGCATGTCGCAGAAGGAACCTTCCGGCACTTGCTCATCTACCATTCTGGCTGCGCCTGCCGCAGCTCCTCACTCCTGGATCGTCAGCGGACCCCTTAGCAAGGCCCCTCTGTTTGCTTGAATCCGCAATGGGGACGTGAACGATTGGCTTGGTGAACCATTTGGACGATCCGCACAAGCTCCGCCACGTCTACGTTTCTCTTACTGGCGTGGAAAACACTTGGTTTTTAACCAACAGACCGACTTTGCCGACTGCAACACTTTCCGAGAACATCTCCTGCAGATTCTCAGTACTCCGGCAGTTCAATCTAGCCTGGTAAAGAGGACACTTGATTCTCGCAAACAACCACTCGGCGAGCCTTATGCCTTGTATGTCAAGGATATTCTCTCGCTCTGTCGACGCGTCAACGCTTTTATGGCCGAGACAGCCAAAGTGCATATTCTTCTTAAAGGTATTGAGTCTGTTGCCTTCAATATTCTGGCCGTAAATAACCCCACTACCGTAGCTCACAACGTAGCTTCTTTCCAGCGCCTGGACGAGCTCAAATTTACACGGCTGCAGCTGTAGAACCATCCTGCAACCATACCTGGCAACCCTACTGCCAGCCCGTCATTGCCAGTCATGATCCTCGCAATCATACAAGAACTACAGGCGCTCGGTTTTTCATTACATCTGCTTCTTTCTCGATCCCTCCTGTACAATTTTACGAGACGTCATTAAGGGGGAGTTGGCGGCTATGACTGGTGCTGCATACCCAGACCCTCACGCCTTTAGTGCCCCAGTAACAAACGCACAAGTCGTTGTTGATACGCCAGCCGTCGTTCCATCAGTGCCACCGACGCTGACGTCGTCTCCCCGGGCGTTCTCGCTCCCAGCGCACAAAATCAGCTTTATTATTGCGACAGCAATTATATGGACAGTCTCCGCTGGTTTCTGCCGTCATTGTCGCCGCCGCCACTTCTGCTGCCACCGCCGTCATTTACACATGTGTATATGTATGTATACATACATACGTGGAAAGATGATGAGCTATAGCTTCCTCTTTCTGCGTACCGGACATCGCCTTTCCCGCCTGGGTCGTCTGCGCGCGCACTTATCTCGGGAGCGAACAAGGGCTGGCGGGGGGGGGGGGGGGGGTGCTTATGGTAGCCCCACTATTGCGGGAACGATCAGCGCGTGGCTTGTGCCCCACAGCAGGCGGGACCTTCTACAGGCTGCCCTCTCAACACGAAGAAATGGTGCTGGAAGTGTACCTGGAGCGGCTGTGTTCTCTTACACTAGCGTTTTGTAGATTTACGTGAGATAGGATCTAAATTAGTCAACTGCCAGCTTCACATCATAAACAATGGCATTTATCGCTACGGCCACGCCACAAGAAACGTCGTAACTTAGCAAGCGCATGCTTACTACAAATATTATTGGCAATTAAAATGAAATCCTTGTTTCGTAAAACACTCGAATGTGTTGCTATCATATTTATTACTTCGCCCTTTGGCAAAACTGTGACCTTTTATGCACTATTGACACCAGCACACCCGACTTAGCTTACAGCACCAACAACCTACCTTACTATCAACAATAGCGCCCTACGATATATACACGCCATTATTGCGCTGACATATCGCACGTGTCTGTCGCAAGCGTCAGAAGGCGAGCGTCATGGATTTGACACTTACAAACGGGACAACTTTGGCGCTGTGGCCACTTTCCAGCGCCTTTTTACCTTACACCTCATGGCCACCCTTCTCCACGAGCAACGCACGAGATGGCTTCGCGCTATTGTGGTGCCAGGCATCGCTCATTGTCGACCTTACGTCACTATGCGCCGTAACTTCTACCAGCCTCTCCGTTCTCAGACCATCACCCGGAAAACTGAATATGTAGATTTGGCTTGATTTCGCGAAATTAGAAAAGTTCCACCAGGACATCCACATAACACAACTGTTTAGGTAGAAAGCATAAAAGTGCAGGCATTATTACACAATTGTGTAAGTTTACCAGTGATTCACCAGGATTTATGTGTTTTTATCCACAAAGTTAATATGTTCTACGATGGATCTACGTTGCTCGCTGCTCAAGGGGATGCCATTCGACCTTCCCCCATGTGTACTGTTCGTGTCTACATCGATGGATTTCTGCATTACATACAATTCGCAGTGCTGAGGCCATGTGCCCAGCAGCTCATATAGAATGGAATATTCTTTCAACGCTGCTTACCTACATCTGCTGCCAGCAACGTGTTTTGAACCTGAATGGTACCGCCTATTGGCTTCACGCAGATGACACACCACTTCAATTTCTTGCTGCAGAGGACGATGAGCTACTTCCACGCAGTCAGCAAATTGTTACAATTATGCCTGATGTCATCGAGCTTGGCGATGTGCTCGTACAACTATCTACACGCTGTATCACCACATGTATAGCCTTCGCATCCGGCTTGGTCCGTTTCGACGATGCCTTCGCATTTGTTTGCGCAACAAACCCGACATCCTAAAAAAGTTATAGTTCCGAAGAAATAATGTTTGCCTGCGTCACTATATATCAGAGCCTTCCTCTCTGTGATTACTCTTCAAGGGGCTTGCCCTGAAGGCATCTCTGTTCAACGTTATCTATCCATCTCTGCACTCAAAGCCACCATCAGCTGCTACATAACCCCTTCGCAGACAAAACAGCTGCTTGCCTTGCTGACCAAGCACAATGCTTCGTTTCACGTCCATTCCTTTGTATTGCGACAGACGTGCGTTAGCACGCATCGGATTCAGCCCGACGCTACGTCCATCGTTCGTCGTCGGCCATATCACGTATCTGTAGCTGAGCGGAAGGTGATTGAAAAAACATTGACAACATGTATACATGGAAGATACCACGCCCCTCTGCTAGCCCTTGGTCATCACCTGTCGTCTTAGTTAGGAAAAGAGACGGTTCTGCGTGGTTCTGCGTAGATTACTGGTTGTTTAGCAAAATTGTGCGCAAGGCCCTATACCCCGTGCCACGTATAAACGACTCCTTGCATTTGCTGAACAGGGGGCCGAGTACTTTTCTAATCTCGATATACGGTTAAGATAGATATGTGGGGTTTAACGTCCCAAAACCACCATATGATTATGAGAGACGCCGTAGTGGAGGGCTCCGTAAATTTCGACCACCTGGGGTTCTTTAACTTGCACCCAAATCTGAGCACACGGGCCTACAACATTTCCGCCTCCATCGGAAATGCAGCCGCCGCAGCCGGGATTTGAACCCGCGACCTGCGGGTCAGCAGCCGAGTACCTTAGCCACTAGACCACCGCGGCGGGGTGATATACGGTTAAGGCACGGGCATATATTGATGCATGAGGACGCGAAAGCAAAACGACGTTTTCATTACTAGATGTACCTTACGCAATCAATGGAATGCCCTTCGGCCATGCAATGCTCCCGCAAGGTTGGAGTGCATGATTGACACCATGCTGCGTGCTTTAGATGGAAGGCTTGCCTGTGCTAACTGAACGGCATTGTTGTTTTCTCGTCAATGTTCTCTCAGCACTTGCAATAACTGGACGAAGTTCTCACGTGCCTTGCAAATTGCGCGCCTTCAGCTGAATACCAAAATGTTCCGCTTTACCAGCCAGACAATCAACATTTCAAAATATCATTTCATCATCTAATAACACTTTTGGCTTTTTCAAACGTCACCTCAAGAGCACTCCGAAGCACTTAAGATTACTTGTCTACACATCACTTGTACGAGCTAAGTTAGAATATGCATCCGCTATCTGGGACACGCATTAAGCATATTTCGTCAACGCAATAGAATCAGTTCAGAACCATGTGACTCGCTTCATTCATTCATCGTATTAATACGGCATCAGCGTTACGTCACTAAAATTGTTATCCAGTCTGCCATCGCTCACTGCGCGTTGGTGCATTTCTTCACTTGTCTTTACCCTAAATTATTTCACAGTTATCATCTACATGGACCACGCTACATTAAACCCGCAGTGCGCATATCGCTCAAGACAAGCCACCCCCTGCAGGCTTCACTAAAGCGTGCTCGAACATAAAGATTTTCAGCATTGTTTCTCTGCACGGCGAAAGATTGGAACAACCTCCCTCCTGCCATTGTCGACATAACATGTCCAGCATTATTTGCACAACACGTAGCTGACCATCTTCTACCAAATCGCCCCTGAATATATTTTTGTTTTCAATAAAGTTTACGTGTGGTAATTCTTATGTACGTTTTGTTACAATACAAAAGATGTATAGATTTGTAACTTATGTAATACCTATTTTATTTGTTATGTGAACTTGATAATTCCACCCATTATGTAATACCCACACGGGGGTCTTTAGGGAAAATAAACTGACTGACATTGTGAGTAAGGACAGCAGTCATCCTAATCCTAAATAGGTCTGGGCAATTCTTCATTTTCCTCGTCCCGATAGGACTAAAGTCTTACGCGGATTTCTTGGCCTGGCTTCGTGCTTCCACCGATTTACAAGAGGTTTCGCCTCGATAGCGACATCTTTGCACAAAATACTCGCTTCCGGTGCTTGCTTTGACTGGCCTCCCGAATGCGAATTAGCGTTTATCCATCTGAAAAACGCCCTCACATCTGAACCAGTACTTTGCCATCGCGATAAAAGGGCACCCACACTGCTGCATCCGAATGCTAGTGGTCGCGGCGTTGGCGGTTTTCTCCTGAAACACGATGAGTCATCACGTTAAAGGGCCATTGCGTATGCAAGCTGTGTTCTTACCATTGCCGAGAAAAATTACACCATCCTTGAACAAGAATGATAAGCTCTGGTATGGTCGGTGTTGAAGTTTTGAACTTGCCTACGTGGCCAACTTTTTACCATTGTTACAGACCATTATACCTTATGCTGGCTTTCCGCACTAAACAAACTATCTGGAAGCCTTGGTCAATCTATTATACATCTGCAAGGATACCACTAAGCTATTACCTTCAAGGGCACTTAGAAGCACCAGGACGCATGTCCTGGCGCATCTACTTTCATATTTATAACCTTGCAGCAACCGAAGTTATTCTTCTATATATATATATATATATATATATATATATATATATATATATATATATATATATATATATATATATATATATATATATATTTATATATATATATTTATATATATATATATATATATATATATATATATATATATATATATATATATAGTCCTTTACATACTTTTATTAGGCCTGGAAGATATATATATATTGTAGTGAAGAATGCCCACTACCCAGCACCTCCACCAAAATATAATGTAAATGCAAGACGATAAGATGTAGCAGCGTCAGGACAGAAGCAGCAAGAGCTGGCCGGATATACGGGGTTCGTCGCAGCAGCAACCAGGCAGTCCCAGCTCACACCTCGCGCGAACGTGTCGATGTCGCTTGGGTAGTGGGCATTCCTCTTCACTACATATCCTCGCCATCAGAAAAAGAGCCATCCTGGCGACTCACTTCATTGCAGAAGAGTCAAGACTCTAAACACGTCAGACACACTTGCCCCGAAGTAGTGTTACGGGGGATGACAGCAGATTCGAGATGAGCATTCTGCTGACACCGTCATGAAGTTCCAAAAGGGCATGAGGTAGCGGCGAATACTTGCGACGTAAAGCGGCTAACTTTGAAGTCTGCGATGGCCTCCTTTATCGCAGGAATTACAAGTCCGACGGCCGAAAGTGGTTACTCTGTTCAGTTTTCCACATGTTCAGCTTTCCACACTGACCCTCAGCGCGCTCATGCGGGCGTCTTCAAAACATACGCTCGGCTCTCCTCCTGGTTTTATTGGTGAGGCATGTACACCTTTGTGCGCAAATACATTCAGTCATGCCCGCAGTGCCGACGACGGAAAGCTCTGCCTCATCACACCTCTGGTCCGATCCAGCCAATCCCTAGCCCAGCCAGGCCTTTCAACCGCGTTGGAATCGATCTGTATGGACCTCTTCCATTCACGGCTTCCGGAAACCGTTGGATCGTTGTCGCTGTTGACTACTTGACGCGATACGCAGAAATAGCCGCTTTGCCTGCTGCCACAGCACGCGACGTATCATCTTTTTTCCTGCGGAACTTCATTCTCCGTCACGGCGCAGCGCGTGAACTTCTCAGCGACTGAAGACGTGTGTTCCTCTCTGAAGTCGTCAACGCACTCCTTGACGATTGCCGTATCGTTCACCGGACTACCACCGCCTACCATCCCCAAACAAATGGCTTGACGGAAAAATTCAACTGTAACCTTGGCGACAAGATACCTAAGTATGTTGCCTCAGACCATTCCGATTGGGACCTCATTCAGCGTTTTGTGACATACGCCTACGAAACTGCTCCACAGGCGACTACGGGCTTTTCGCCATTTTTCTTCTTATATGGCTGAGACCCTTTCAACACACTAGATACCATTCTGCCCTACCACCCTGATTCCTCCGAGTCTACGCCCATCTCTGAAGCTGCCCGCCGCGCTGAGGGGTGTCGTAAGCACGCCCGGTCTTTCACAACCATCAACCAATCGAAACAAACATCTCGCCATGACGATAACCACCCGTACCCAAACTTCGTTCCGGACACCCTTGTGTGGCTTTGGGTTCCAGCTGTCCCTACAGGTCTTTCTTCGAGAGTTGTTTCAAAATACCAGGGACCCTACCACGTTGTCTCGCAGACTTCACCTGTTAACTACATCACCGAACCCGTGACGCCATCCACAGACCAGCGCTTTCGGGGTCGTGAAACCGTTTTCGTACAGAGGTTACAACCATATTACGATCCGCTCGTACTCTGTTCGCCGTGAGTCGCCAGGATGGCTCTTTTTCTGACGGGGAGGATATGTAGTGGGCATTCCTCATCACTAGAATATATATATATATATATATATATATATATATATATATATATATATATATATATATATATATATATATATATTATAAACTAATAAGGACCATATTATTATAATACTGATAACTTACGTTTCACCACTATCAAATTGCTTCTTCTACGACACACGCCCAAATGCACAGCGTCATAGCAAGAAAAAGAGTACTGGGAATCAGAGTTAACAGTAGTTAAAACTCATGGCGGACACTTTCATTTTGTTGTACGTTTTTTTTCTATTATAATACTTCGGAATAGGAAACGATTGTGTGACAACGCACACCTGTGCTGGCATAGTCACAATAGCATGTCATTGCTAAACACAACACCGTGTTTTCGACTACCAGCCTTGCCCAGAAACGAGGTCAGGATGGAAGTAACATTTGTGTATCGTTATTTGGTTGTAGGTGAATAAAATTCAGTTGGTGAGAATTGTTGCAGGGCCCTTTATTGCAACGTCCCGTATAGTATTATCTTAGTTTGCCGATAAGAAAAAAAGCCACAGATTTCATTTATTTGTAGGTCGAGTTCTTGAGGCACTTACCTTTTCACAAAAAGTTGAAAACCTGATCCTTTCTTGCTGTCACACTTGAGGTGAACCGCACTTACACTGACTTGCGATGTACCATCTTCGCTGTCGTACAACATGCTTGGTGCCGCAGCTGTGGTATTGACTTGAAAGACACTATCACCTATTAGCAGCAGCAGAAAGAAAAGAAAGATCTCAGAACCTACAGCTTATATCTGCAGTTAGGGCTGTCTTTTAACACAGAGGCGTACATTTTCTCCAAGCGAATTACCAAACTTAGCACGCTCGTTACTTGATGCGTTACGTCTGATGTGGCAGCTAAGTCAGGGCAGTCACATACCCTAAAATAGCAGCTTTATTAAGCGAAGCACTTCTTGGTGAACCAAGAGTACTTTCGATTGATATCTGGGGTTAAACGTACCAAAACCACCATATGTATATGAGAGACGCCGTAGTGGAGGGCTACGGAAATTTCGACCACCTGGGGTTCTTTAACATGCACCCAAATCTGAGCACACGGGCCTACAACATTTCCGCCTCCATCAGAAGCGCAGCTGCCGCAGCCGGGATTCAAACCCGCGACCTGCGGGTCAGTAGCCGAGTACCTTAGCCACTAGACCACCGCGGTGGGGCACAAGAATACTTTCATCGTTGCTATTGATCTTTCTGCGGAGAAAAAATAAATAGGCTTGCAAAAAGGTTTAAATTTAGAATAGCGCAGCAGGCAATCAAAAGGAAGCTGATAGGTGCAGCCCCAAGGGACAAGAATATAGCGTGCGGGTCAGAGAACAAACGGGTGTTAAGGATTTCTAGGCCTAAATAAACTTAATGAAATGCATATTAGCCGTGCAAGTAGTGCGTAGGCAGGATGACCACTGGTAAATAATGGTAATTGACTGGTCCTGAAGAGATGGCAAAGCGAAAAAGAGACAGAAATTTCGATGGTCAGAATAAATAAGGAATTGCACAGGTATTACGTAGTTGCAGCGACGGTTGAGTTCCCTTCAGGCTCAGTTTGTCTTACTTCTTGCTCTTGTTGCGGTGGTTAAGCCGGGAATTTAAACTGACAGCAGGTTTAACGCCCAACGGTTCAACTTTTTTTCAATTATGGACTGACTTCAGATGTTTTGGGATGATTAGCTTCTGTTGGTATTTCGGTTTTTTCCATTGCAATTTTATGGTGTACGTCTTATAAGTGTTGTGCAATGGTGACGTCATCTTGAGAACGTCCGGACACAATTTTAATGCCGCTTGATTATTTTGGGTAAACAGTTTTTTTTTTCCATTGTCTGCAGCCGGAACGATGGAACAACTGATTTTATAGACGATGCCTTTCGCCAGTCTATGGGTTGTGGCAGAAAAAGATTTATTGTGCCGATTGGCTTGTGTACGATCAATATAGCTTGCTTTTTTAAGACTGGCTCATGGCTGCACTGGTGGCTCTCACAGGAGAAAGAGATTCGCTTCTGAGAAGAAAAACTTGGGTATCCGTTAGAAGATTGACTTTTTGTTTCTGGATTGCATACCGACGGCAATTGTTCCAGTATCCGTATTTTTTCTTCTTTTTGAATTTTGTTGCCCTTTCCTCTAAGAAAGCAAGAAATTGTATTCCGGAATGCCCGAAAAAATGTCCATTTTTATTGAGCTCTATTGAATTCGTACCATTCCATGTGTGTTCCTATGACACCGTAAGCTATATTCCAGTTTAGCTCGATCACGAAGGTGTACGCCAACAATCGCAAGTTGCGACATGCATGTGGTCGCAATGCAGCTTGCATTTAGTTTTGACGAACGTCACGTCTTTCGCCTGTGGTTAGTGCTGACGTTATATAGACCACAAGCTACTCTTTGGATTCAAGTGTAGACATTGTACCTGCTATGCTTACAGTATGCGAACCACTAAGTTTACACAGACAAGTTGACCTAACTCGTAGCGATCGGCTTGAATAAAAATACAATAATTATTTTCGTCATAACAATGTCACAAGCAGCATGGACAAGAATTCAACAATTGCTTCACACAAAATCGGTTCTAGCAAATGCTGAGATGTGTGGCTTTTTTTTCTGCTACCTCGGTTGCCTTGCTGCAGATATTCTCTAGGTTCAGAATTCTGGTCTGATACCAAACAACTGCAACGCAGCATGTTCGCTCAATGTAATTTTTTGAAATCATTGTAACATCACGGTCGTAGCCGATCAGAGTGGCAACGTGGACTCGATGGTATTGCGTTTGACTTGAATGAAGTGAAAGGCTACGATGTCGACAACAGAAAAAGCATAATCTATGGAACACGACGATGTCTTTCTTGGAGCGCTCATTTCTTGTTGTCCACCATTCATTACTATTGTTCTCTTTTGTGTCGCAGTAGAAGGCAAACCGTCAGTCGGGGCATCAACAAATGCTACATCAACTTACTGGAAGCAATCTACAGCGAATCTCCAGCCACCATTATCCCCGAAAAGAAAGCGACAAAGTCCCAATAAAGAAGGCTGTCAAGCAGGCAGACATGATCTCACCAATGGTATTTACTGCATGTTTACAGGAGGTTTTCAGGGGCCTAGATTGGGAAGAGTTAGAGATAAGAGCTAAAGGAGAAGGAGGAAGCAGCAAAAGGGAGAAGGCAAGGAGGTTAACGAAAAAGACATCCGGGTGGCTACCCTACACTAGGGGATTAGAGAAGGAGACAAGAAAGACGAAAAAGAGGGAAGATATGATATGTGGGGTTTAACGTCCCAAAACCACCATATGATTATGAGAGACGCCGTAGTGGAGGGCTCCGGAAATTTCGACCACCTGGGGTTCTTTAACGTGCACCCAAATCTGAGCACACGGGCCTACAACATTTCCGCCTCCATCAGAAATGCAGCCACCACAGCCGGGATTCGATCCCGCGACCTGCGGGTCAGCAGCCGAGTACCTTAACCACTAGACCACCGCGGCGGGGCAGAGGGAAGAGAGGGAAAAGACAAAGGGGGGGGGCGATTGACAGTAATTTCACTGCAGCGTGTAGAACTCTACCGCATGTCAGAGGCGTTCACACAAGCCTGTCTTTCTCAGGAAACACAGCAGGGCTTTCACTGCCTTGTGGGCTGTGGAGGCATGTTCACGTTGCTGTAATAGCACCTGCCCAAAAAGAGGCCAATCAACCAGTCGCCGCATTGCGTTGGCAATTACTTGTCTATCTGAGGCAAATCGAGGACAATGGCACAGCAGGTGTTCGATATTTTCGTCGGTGCCGCAAACATCGCACGCCGCACTGTCAGTAATTTCGATTAACGTGGTATAAGCTTTCCTGAAAGCAACTCCCAGCCAAAGGCGACAGAGAAGCGAAGCTGCACGTCGATGTGGGCCTGGTGGAGGCCGGAGTTGCAGTGAAGGGTCGAGCTCGTGCAGTCTTGTACGTCGTATGCTTGGTGTGTTCCACTCAGTCAGTGTGAGACTGCGGGCCAGTTGACGAATCTGCCTTGCCGAATCCACTCTTGAAAGCGCAATCTGAACGCTGTTCGCTTCTTTATGTGACATGCGAGCAGCATGATCTGCAGAATCATTGCCGCCTATACCACAATGCCCAGGTAACCACTGAAAGACAATGTCGTGGCCTTTTTGTATTAAGAGGTGGGGAAGTTTCACGGTTTCGTAGGTCAACTGGTCGTGGCATCCGCGTCGGAGAACTGATATCAGGTACTGTAACGCTAGTTTTGAGTTAGAAAACACAGCCCATTTACCTGGTCTTTCTTCCGAATCGATGAGTTCCCTTGCATTGCGCAGAGCCTCGAGTTCTGCCGTCGTTGACGTTGTCGCGTGTGAAATCTTAAAACACCGAGTTGCCCCATGTGATTGTATAACCACTCTTCCACCTGAACTAGACGGCGTATAGTAGAGCCATCCGTGTAAATGTGCACGTGGTTACTGTGGTTTTGTTCCAGTAGGAATAGACTCAGTTGTTTAAGGGCATGTGTCGGTAAGTCCAATTTTCTCCTAATTGCTGGACTCAAGTGATCTCGCACCCGGCTCAAGCTCCAAAGAGGAAGCAGTGGCTTTTCTGCAGGTGCGTACGACTCAGTAAACGATGAACGATGCTTGTAGATGGTAGTGCCGTATGTCGTTTGGGGCCTTTCAGCAGCTAGGCTCGCCAGGTAGTGAGAAGGGGTCTTGGCATAATGCCTGAGGTGCATGCGGATTGTCTCGGTAATAATATGCGTCTTTATTGAGTGATCTTGAGCGATGGCAATGGTTTCAGCCGGTAAAGCACTGCGGGGTAATCCAAGGCATATCTCAAGTGCTTGGGCTTGAATGCTCTGAATTGCGCGCAGGTTGGTCTTGCCGGTGTTAGATATTGTAGGTAAGCTGTACCGTAAGAATCCGATAAACAACACTCTGTACAGTTGTAGCATGGATGGTATGGGCACTCCGCAATTTTTTCCTGCAACGCATTTCAACATGTGGCATGTTGCTATCGGCCGCTTCTTCACATAGTTCACGTGTGGAGTCCACGACAGGTTTCTGTCTATTATGACTCCCAAGAACCTGTGGCTTCTACTGAACGGTATGTATTCGAACGGTATGTAATCGATATGCTGTAAGCAGACATTGGTTTCCGCGTGAACGCTACCACTGCACATTTTCCGCAAGACACCTCGAGGCCTTGTTGACGAAGGTAGCACGACGTCATTGTAGCAGCCTTCTGAAGGCGGGCGCGAAGCTGAGGCCTTGTCGCACCTGATGTCCAAATGCAGATGTCATCAGCGTAGACAGAAAGATCTACAGTGCTAGGTAGCTGCTCGACTAGACCAATGAGAGTTAGATTGAAAAGTGTAGGGCTTAGCACTCCTCCCTGAGGAACTCCTCGGCTGCTGTAATAATCAGGTGTTGGGCCCTTCGCTGTCATCACGTAAAATGATCTCAGCTGTAAGTAGCTGTACACCCACATATATATCTTGCCACTAAGACCTACTGTTTCCAAAGCGCTAAGGATAGCTTCATGGGTGACATTGTAGTAAGCCCCCTTAACGTCTAGAAACAGGGCAGCGCACAGTTTCTTACAGGCTTTCTAGTGCTGAACATATGTCAGCAGATCAACAACGTTGTCGATTGACGAATGGCTGTGCCTGAATCCGATCATTGATACTGGATAGATTTTGTAGTGCTCTAACTACCACTGCATTTGTGTTAGAATCATTCATTCAATTGTTTTTCCTACACAACTGGCAAGTGCGATAGGACGGTATGAGGCAATATCCAAAGGAGATTTACCAGCCTTTAGAAGTGGAATGAGGCGACTTGACCTCCATGCCTGGCGAACCGTACCAGTCTGCCAGGAGTCGTTGTGTAGGCGTGAGAGTGCCTTCCGGGCTTCGCCTCCAAGATTACAAAGGGCACGATAGGTAATGCCGTCAGGTCCTGGTGCTGAAGAGCGTCTGCACAATGCCAGTGCCGCCTCTAGCTCATCCATAGAAAACTGGCATTCCATACGGGGACCACGTGAGGGCGGTGGGTTGTCAAATGTTCCCATTCTTGATACTTTGAATTTAAAATCACCGGAAATTCTTCTACAGAAAAATTCTGCGACGTCAATCTCTCTGCATTGAAGGTGAAGTGCCAGAGATGTAAATGGGTTTCGCTGACCCGAGGTTGCGCTAAGACCCCGGACAGTTCGCCATATCCGTTATAGGGGCTTTCGTGGATCCAACTACTCGCAAAAGGATGTCCAACGTCGCCTAGCCAGTTTATCTATGTGCCGCTGCATTTTCTTTTGAAAACGTCTAGCCAGCCTCAAATCATTCAAGCACTTTGTCCGTCGGTACCTTCGTTCTGCACGACGTCGTACTGCGCGAAGTTTCTCAAGCTCAATGTCGAAATCGGTGCGCCTGTGACTAGTCAAAAGTGAATCCGTGGTATTCTGCAGGACATCTTTTATCGAGTCTTCCGGGTTATATGATGAGCCGTCGGTACAGCAGTCTTCCATTAACATTTTGGATTTCGGCCAATCGGTGTATTTGAGGCCTGTTGAGGACTTGGAGCTGGTGAAACCTTCTATCCACATGTAAGTTGGTACATGGTCGCTGCTCCGCGTTTCCAGATCGGAAAACCAGTGCACTTTCTTGGTAAGTGAGGGAGAAACCAATGTAAGGTCCAGGCAGCTGCTATAGGCTGATCCGCGTAAATATGTAGGGCTTCCATCATTACAAACGCAGAGTTCGTACTCCGAGGCTAAGGACACCAATTTTCTTTCTCTAGAGTTGACCTTGGAGCTTCCCCATAGAGAATGGTGGGCATTGAAGTTGTCAGTGATCACCCATGGCCTTGTAATCGATGTCAGAGTACCGCGTAAGCGCTCGCAGTCAAGGCAGCTTGATGGAGATAAGTAAGCTCCGATAATCGTGAAAGCAACCTTATCTTTCTTTACAGTAAGGCACACATACTGATTCCCTTCATCAGGCGAGACTCTGTGGTGAACGTAAGTGGGGTTCTGGCGCATGAATACAATAACTTTGCTGCAGCCTCTGTGAGTGGAGGACATAAAACACTCATATCCTGACAGCTTGATTAAAGCAGGCAGGTTGGGTTCACAAATCACGATAATGTGGAAGCTGTTCATAAATACAAGCTGTCTAAAGTCAGACATGCGCGACTTCAGTCCTCTGGCGTTCCACTGAAAGACAGATGCATTCTTGATTTCCGCTCGAAACGACGGTGCCTCGCTGGCCATGGTTTTGCCTTAGAGCTGCAAGCACCGGACTCAGGGTGTCCAGCACATGCAGTGCGGTCTGCGCAGCCGAAGTCTTCATATTATTCAGTAGGACATGCATGGTACTCATCAGCGATTGCAGCAAGCTTATCACTTGATCTTCATTCATCGCATCACTGGTTTGAGGGTTCGTCGAGGGCGGCGGGATTTGATGCAGCTCCGAAGTAGGTTGACTTCGTGGAAGTGATGGCCACTGTTCGGAAGGTGCGACTGCTGTCCCTTTCTTCTGTTTGGCGGTATCCGTCTTCAGTGAGCTCGGTGTTTGTGGGTCAGCCTCTTTGATAGAGGATGACATCTCTCTATTGGTAGAGGCGTTTTTCCGTGATGGTCTTCGCCCTCGACGCCGTCGTCGGCGTAGTGTAGCGGCAGCTTCCCTGTGCGTTGAGTTGTCCCGCACCATACGCCTGAGTACCGCGTGCTCGTTTCGCAACCACGGGCAATCTTTGGATGAGGCCTCATGAGCGCCGTGGCAGTTTGGACATCGTAACACAGTGGCACCGCAGCCGTCTTTTGAGTGAGATTCAGCGCACCGCGGACACACAACTTTGTTCTCACAGACACCTTTTACGTGTCCCATCTTGAAGCACTTGTAGCATTGCAGTGGCTTCGGTACGTATGGACGCACTGAGTGGCGAACATGGCCAACTTTTACATACGAGGGAAGGCTGTCTGCCTCGAACACAAGCCTCAAGCAGCGGCAGTTGCCGAGTCTGGTAATGTGCGTGATGCGGGTGCCTTATGTCGCTGGCTTTATAAGTATAGGCAGGTCATTAGTTGGGATGGAAAGATCCACAACATAAATGAGGCCTACAGCGCCATTACAACCTGTAGCGACCATTGGCCGAACTTTCAAGTTGCCGATTTGTGTTATGTGCCAAAGGCTTTGCAGTGCGCTACGGTGCATAACGTCTACAGCAAGGACATTCTTCTGTGCATTGATCCTCACGTCTTTGATCGCATTCGGCGCGGTTTCCTCGAGAAGCACAGAAAGAACTTGCCTGTTGAGGAGTCGCAAGTTAGATGCAGGGTCTTCGGGCATGAACAGCATGGTGTGCGGCCACCGCTGTGGTGCAGTCAATGATGGAAACACTTGCCGACGATGCCGTCCACAGCAGTCTTCGTTTTTGTAGTTCGATTCATGACGACCGTGAAGTCATCATCCGATAACTCAAAGCCGTCCGAGTACAAATCGGTTGTCTCGCTGTCCGTGTCGCTGGACGCGTTGCCACGCTTCCTGGACGACGAAGCCCGGCGTGACGGTTGCACGCCTGGAACATTCTCAGGTGTGTCGTGAAGTATCACCGCAAAGGAGGTAGCGGTAGCTCCCAAGATTTCCAGGAAAACAAACTGAAAATACTGAGACACGAGCACAAGCGTTCTGTGAGAGAATCACTTCCAGAGCTAAAGGAGAGTTTCTTAGTAACTTGCGATTCGTGGATGACATTGCCTTGATGAGTAACTCAGAGGACGAATTACAGCTTGTGACTGCAGAACTGGACACGCAAAGCATAGAAGTATTGGCCTCAAAATTAATATTTATTTTATTTATTTGCAATACTGTCGACTCCAATGTTGGAGTCATTATAGAGGGCACATTGCAGGTAGTATACATTCATGAAGAACAAACAATAACATTCCAACTGACATACATAAGCATCACCCAGTACCTTCTGGCCTTCTGGCCTGCTACAGTGCGCCGTGCAAAAAAGAAAAAGAAAGGAGGAAAATTGCAAAGGTATGTAAAGCATTGAAGCACTACTGTAGATTACGCATGGTTTCTAACACTGCGGTGAATGTGGATAGTGTGTCGGCATTAGTAGCATTTGCATTCAATTTATTCCATTCGCGTATTGTTAGTGGGAAAAACGATTTTCCAAAGACGTCACTGTTTGAGGAATATTCCTGCAGACTGTATTTGTCCATATCCTTGTAATTAAAGTAATGTGCAACAGTCTCGCTGGAAAACAGCGCTTTGTGATAAGTGGGGAGTCATTGGAAGTGGTAAAAGAATATATCTATTTAGGACATGTAGTAATCATAGAGCCAAACCATGAAAGTAAACTAACTAGAAGAATAAGGCTGGGGACATTCGAATAGGCAAGCATTCTGAAATCATTATAGGTAATCTACCACTAGCCTACAAGAATAAGGTATATAACAGCTTCATTTTTCCGGTACTCTCCTACGGTGCAGAAACTAGTAGGTATACAAAAAAGGTTCAGCTAGAATTGAGAACGATGGCTCAGCAAGCGATGGAAAGAAAAATTATTGGAGTAGCTTTAGGAGACGAGAAGTGAGCAGAGTGGGTCAGGGAAGAAACAGGGGTGAAGGATACCATAGTTGAAGTAAAGAAGACATGAACATGGATTGGGCACGGAGCACATAGGGCAAGATAACCGCTAGTCATTAGGAGTAACTGACTGGATTCAGAAAGGAGGCAAACGCCCGAGGGGGAGACAGGAAGTTAGTTGGGCTGATGAGATTAAGACATTTGCAGGTGTAAAGTTGAAGCAGAAAGCACACGAACGGGTCGATTGGCGGATCATGGGAGAAGGCTTAGCCCTGTAGCAGGCTCAGTCAGGCTGATGATGATGATGATAATGATGATGATGATGATGATGATGTCAACCGATAAGCTACGGCCTCCTTATGAGTCGGCTTGAACTGTGCGAATAATATGCATTTTACACTGTGTATGCAAAAACCGCCAGACATTCCTAGTTTTTTTTTTATGAAACTAAAAAGGAAAATATGAGCGCTACTAGACGGTTAAAAATTAAATTATGCTGTAAATGCACTAATCGTATGGTACACCAGGTACTGTTGAAAATCAACTTCACAAAAATCTGATAAATTAAACGTTTGCATGTGAATAAACGAACTCTGTTATTGTTTGCAAGAAAGCGAAAACAATCAGTTTTTTTCTACACCGTCATGCAAGAAGCAATGCGCAAATGCTAACAGTTCTCGGGCACTTTGGCATTCATGGACAATGAAAGGCAGGAAACTCACCACTTCTTATGAACACTAGACCATTTTCTGAGTCTGGACCTTTACTCTTCAGAAATCCATATTCAATGGGGTGCATGATTGATGATGGCGGATAAATAGATCCATACAGGATGCTGTAAAATTCATAAGAAACTTCTGTGAAATGACATAGAGAGTAGCATTGGTTTACATTAAAACTGTGTCAGTGACTTCAGAAAAACTTGTGCACATGTTAGGTGCGACATTTACAGATACATGCCTATCAGTTGCGTTGATCAATATGCCTTTCACCACTTTTTTTTTTAAGTAAACATAAGTTATGTAGAAAGTTCGACGTTCACTTCAGCCGAAGAAGAAAAAGAAACGTGTACCAAAAATTCAACTCAGTGTGGCAGTACCGCAAGATATACGAAGAAACAAATATTAAAAATCATATAAAATTATGCGTGGACTGGCCGTGCCGATTGAAGACAAGCAACTTTTATATTTAAAAAAGCCGGGTGCCGCTTCGTCTAATGACTGAAAGCTAAAGGGCCAGGGACTAGCATGGGCTAAGGAACCAGGTGGACAGCTGCGCAACCACGTGCTACAGGCAACGCGAGGCTATGTCATCGCACCTACAGAGTCTTCCTTTCGATCGACGAGTGCAGTTTTACGGACGTCGTAAAGTGCTTCCCCGAAAAAGTGGAATGAACATTTCAGCAGAAAATATATCTCGCCAGCGTAGGACACTGTTTTCAAAAAATAAAAAAGACAAATGTACAATTTTGAAATGAAACCTCGTCAGCCATTCGAATGAATGTCATCTGGCGTTATTGTACCAAGCAATTATCACGTGCTTACGTGACTAACCTTTCAATATTTCTTTATTCTCTGTGTTCCTGTATGGCCATTTATACATGCCTCTTCTGAACTTTCTCATAACGAAAAACACCTGTCTTCAGTCATCCGCAGTACTCGCAAAAAAGCTATTTATTGTTGTTTTAGATGGTGAACGGGAAGTATTAATATTATTACAAATATTTTATAATAGTATTATTATTACTGTTACAAAATTATTTATGAGCAAGACATATAGTCAGCACGATAGCATAGATAAGTGGCGTTGCAGTATTTTTGTCGGCAGAAGTATGTGTGTCGGGAAGAGGCGTAAAGGAGTCGTAGAGTCTCCGATACAGTTTCTCTACATTTCTCGAAGGTATGCGTGCCGATGAATGTTCAATCATGTGTTTTGTACGAGAGAGTTGTGTCCTGAGCAAGTATTTTTGCAATTTCAGCGTGAAAAGACGAGTATGAAGGATGAAGAAACAAAAATACACAGACGATGACTCCTTCCTGTTTCCATCTTACTGTTTCTTGGTCTTTTGTTCTCGTTCTCTTAGCTGCGAATATAACTTCTCAAGGTGATGAAGCAACTATCTCGCACCACTATCCTGCGAATATACGTTCTATTTTCACGGCATTAATGTAAAACTCTATATTTCCTTACGTGCTGCTTGGAAGGGATAGTAAACTACGCTTAATGCTTGATGTCATCGTACCCTTTGCTTCCTCCGTATGCGCTGGAGTGAACAAAATGGTAAGTGTCGCCGTTCTGAAACAAAAAAGAAAGGTAATAAATGCAACAACATTGTCAAGATGTCACAAAAAAGTTAATGGCATCTGTAGAGTGACTTTTGTAAAATTACAATAATGATGCAGGTGGACGCCCCGCAAACACGTGCAGTGCTTTTGTTGTTGTTCTTGCTGTTGAAGGGAGAAAGGAACTGAAAACTGCCACTTGAACGGGAAGACCACATACCCGTTCAATTATCTATATTTTAGGTGTATGCAATGTACTTCACTTATTTTGTATAAACACATATATGCCCAAACATATAAAAATTAACAAAACTAATTATTTCCCTAAAATGATTGCTTCTACGCCCTCAGAAAACAAAACAAGGCTAATAATAAAACACTTCTTTCAAACAATAACTTTACAGCCCTCCTGTATGCAGGACACCTATGTTTGACAGACCATGAACAAAAACATTAGCAAAAACATGAACAAAACATTAGTTACTGCACACTCAATAACTGACAAACGACCAACAAAAATATCAGCAGCATCGAGAACAATTTGACTTAATATTGCTCATATTTTCTAGTGGTATGACACTCAGCAACATGCATGTGAAATAGGCATTTTGTGACTGCAAGTACGAGGCTATTTGTAGCCCAGCGATCACCTAGACTTGCATGCGATGAGGACAGGGCATCATAAACAGACATGAGGTGTCGCTAGCTTTTTTACAGAATAAACATTCGACTTTCACTTAAAAGTTTCAGTGTCCTTCGTGTAGGACACTGGACATATATGGTTTAATATACATCGCGTAAACACCTCAATAACACAACAATGGTTTTGTGTCATTAAAGCATCTATTCTTGGTGTTATTGACAAATTTCCTTAGAAGAAATTTCTTGAATACATCTGGTTATTGATATTGTTTGACCTTAATGACTTGGGCATGGAGGTAAAGCTTCACACGAAACCGACTTGCACCATACGCTGACCATCGTATTAGGTCTGAGCATCTAGATTCTATCGCATTGAATGCCGCTTTGAGACTGGTTGCTTCAAGCCTAAAAGTGCTCGCCAATGGCGTAGGGGGTGATAGTATGAGCCTCGCGTGCAAGAGGTCTGTGGTTTGAATCCCGTTGACGCGCCATTTCTCATTGGATTTTAAAAACATTTTCCACGTGAGGATCGACTGGAATCAAGGAGGCGTGGGGCTTTACCTCGCTGGTGAACGCCACCGGTAACGCACTCCCTCACTAGAGAAGGATTGTCAGCCTTGAAGACGAATCTGGCCACTACCTCCCACATAAATACAGCGATTAACTGTCGGCCCTCAGTCCTCCGTGGCTGCGAAACAACTGAACCCGGCAGCGGTCAGATCGGTGACGCAGCAGATGGTGCTAAGAATCTCTGGGTCTAGACAGGGTGACATTGGAGCCTGAATTTGGCAACGTTAAAGTGAGAACCTTATCTAGGGAGGCAATCCCACCTGTGCGTTTCGAAGAACTAGAGGGTGTTAAATCGACTGCAATAGGGCTCAGTGAGGTTAGGACCACAGATGAGGCCTACACGATGCTACCAGATGGGCGCGTCCTTTGCTATTGTGGCTTGATTGAAAGAAAAAGAAAACTGGTGGTGGAGTTCTTTATGCACACAAGTATAGCTGGTATCATAGCATAATAATGTAGCATTAATGAAAGGGTGACTTGTAATGTAGTGAACCTAATAAGTAATACAAGATGATACAAGCCTACGCACTTACATCAAGCCATAATGACGTGAAATCGACAGTGAGAAAGGTAAAAACACGGTGTACTATACTTATGGGCAGCTTCAATGCCAAGGTAGGGAAGAATCAGACTTGAGACCCAGCAGTAGGCGATTATTGCATTGATACTGGAAATGCCAGTGGGGAGTTATTTGTAGAATTCACAGAATGCAATCATTTAGAAATATTGAAGACCTTCTATTGAAAACGAGTGAACCGCCAGTGGACATGCAGGAGTCCTAACGATGAAAGTAAAATGAAAGAGACTACATACAAAGTGCACATCCAGGCACCATGCAGGATGTGCAAGTGTTTGGCAAGGTACGATTCAGCGACCAAAGAGGAGACAAGGGCAATGATCTTGACTAGCAGATGCTGCCTGCGTCAATATTGCGAGGTGAGCGAGAGAGGGATAAGCAAGAGAGGAGAGAGACGGACGGGCCGCGTATGCGCAGTGGAGCATGGGCGCCAGCAGAGTAAGCTGCCTTATAAGACGCTTCGCGTCTAAGACTAGATGTATGGACTAAAAGGCGAGGAAGGCCAAGTAACTGCAAAAATATATATGGCAGTTAAAGTAGCGGAGGTGTTTCACAAAGATCTATACAGTAGCCGGGAAAGCACGACCCTACTATAGCAACTAGCAGTGACCTTGATGGCAACCCACCACTAATGACAGTAGAATTCGGAAACGCCTTAAAGGGAATGGAAAGAGGCAAAACTTCTGATGAGGATCAGCTAACATCAGATCGGTGGAAAGGCGGAGGACATATTGCGTTAGAAAAACTGGCCACATCATTTACAAAGAGTCACTTGACGGGGAGGGTACCGAAAGCTTGGGAGAAGGCTAACATCATCCTAATCTATGAGAAACGGGACGACAAGGACTCCAAGGATTACAGCCGATCATCTTGCTCTCTGTCGTATACAAGCTTTTTACAAAGGTAATTGCAAACAGAACTAACACACATTAGAATTTAATTACCTAAAGGAAAAAGCAGGGTTTCGTACAGGCTCCTCCACAATCGACCATATTCATACTATCAATCAGGTGATACAGAAACGCTCAGAATACACCTAACCACTATGCATAGTCTTGATAAATTACAAAAAAACATTTGATTCCGTAGAGATAGGAGCCCTCATGCAAACACTACAAAATCAGGGCGTCCGCGGAGCATATATAACTATTCAGGAAGAAATCTACAGTGGGTCAACTGCCACTATAGTGCTCCTTAAAGCAAGTAGCAGAATGCCAATAAAGACAGGTGTAAGACAACGCGATACGGTCTTCCCAGTGCTATTCCTCGCGTCCTTGCAGGGGGTTTTCAGAGGACTACGATGAGAAGAGTTGGAGATGTGAATTAATGAAGGGTAGCTTAGTAACCTGCACTTCACCGACGACATTAGATTCTACAAGAAGAGAAGAAAGGTTGATCTTAAAATATTCTGCAGAAAACGAAAGTCATGTACAACAACCTCGGAAGAGAATGGCGCTTCGAGATAGGTAGCATTGCACTTGAACTTGTAGTACAGGAGTACGTCTACTTAAGACAGGTAATAACCGCGGAGCCGAACCACGAGACTAATGTAACTAGAACAATAAAACGGAGATCAAGCACATTCGGCAAGCATACTCAACTTATGAATGATGGATTGTCACTATCCCTCAAGAGACAGGTATATAACAGCTGAATATTACCGGTATTTACTTACGGAGCAGAAACCTGCATGCCTACAACTCAAGCTGAGGATGATGCAGCAAGCAAACGGAAGGACAATTATAGGTGTACCGCTAAGGGACAAGAAGAGAGCAGAGGGTACCAGGAAACGAATGCGTGTTAAGGACATCAGAGTCGAAATGAAAAAGGAATTGTCATGGGCAGGGCGTCTATCGCGAAGACCGGATAAGCGCTGGTCATTGGGGATCACAGACTGATTTCCAAGAGCAGGCAAGCCGGTGAAGGCGAGACAGGGAGTTAGGTAGGCAGAAAAATTTCAGCTAATTAGTGGCAGCAGCAAGCACAAGACCAGACTTTCGGGTAGAACTTGGAAGAGGCCTTTGTCTTGCAGTGGGTGTCGTGCGGTTGATGCAAGTGGTAATGATGATGATGATTTCAAGTCTGATCAATAAACGAGTTCGTCACCAAGTAAAAAAGGTAAAACAAATGTGCTTATATTCGGTATTACTATGAACGGTGGCCTAGCTCTTAGATAGAGAGCATCCTATCAGTAATGGAAAATCATGTACTATCGTGAGCAATATGAGCTCGAACACGCGAGCGCGTCGCAAATGGCTTGAAAACCGAGATAGCACGATGCGTGGATGGCGCTGCCGAAACAGTAGGAGGAGAGAAGGGAGCTCTTCCACTGACTGTTCGCACTCACACATGATTGTTGCTCTGAAGCGGCAGCTGGTTGCGTGCCATCGGCCGCAAGCAATGAATACGCTAAAGAAAATGCACTGAAAACAAAAGTGAAAGATGCGCGTGGATGCGCATCAAAATATTCAGCGAAGCATGGCCTGTGCATCACGGCAGGCTACGTCACAGCCGGTATCTTCGTAGCTGCCCAGCCTGATTGGTTGTGGCTGTGCGCGTTGATATGAGCTTATGTCACCGCTAGCAGCCACAGGCATGCTATAAACTGCATTTTTCAGCAACAATATCGAGGAGGGAGTGTCAACAGCAAGGGGAAGTGAGCCACCCTTTCCACTTCGATTCTGAGAGTGGCCGCTGCGAACCAGCAGATGTAGGGTTCGAGGCCATTTGCCACGCGCTCGTGTGTTCAGGCTCACATTGCTCAAGATAGTACTTATCAAAACCCTTGTTTTTATCACTTACGAGACAGGCGTTCGCTTTATAATTTTAATAAATTCTTGACAGGGTAGTGACCTTGTATAGGACGACGAGTTACATATAACAAATAAAGGTTTAACGCGTTTCTGCTGCACCTTGAGCTTATTTAAAAATGCCGTGGCTGAAGCAAAACATTAGCGAGGCTCGTACAAAGACTCGCGAGCTGTGGTCACCATGGATTTGCAGGATTGGTGTTTGGTAAATGGGCGTACGTGTTCTTGGAGGGAAGAAAAAGAAAAGGAACAAGAGGACGACTATGGAGAAGGTAACGAAGAGGGCTCGTGCCGGCTCATCAAGCTGACAATTTTTTTGTGACCCTTTCTCGTTGTTGTCGTTTTTTCGCTGTCTCTGTCTATGTCCGTTTCTATATCTCTTTCAGTGCCGTCTTTATCTCACCTTCTATTTTTTTTCTGGATTGCTTCTATGTCCTAACTTTTATGCATATCTACCTCTCTGTAGCCAGACTCTCACTTTTACCTTGATCGCTGTTTAGCTATTTGCTTTTTAAGTCATTTTTTCTCTGTCTATTTTTCTCTTTCTCCTTATTACATTTTTTTCTTTCTTTTCTTTTTTTTGTTCCATGTCCGTGTTTCCCTATTTCTGTCTGTGTACTCGGCCCGTCACGTTTATATTCTTTTCGTTTTTTCCCTGTGTCCCTGTTTGTAGTCGGCCTCTCACCTTCCGTTTTTTTGTCTTTGTCTTCTCAATGTTTCTATTGACGTTTTGTGCATTTTCTATCTCTCCCTCTGAGCACTTCTCCCGGCATCAGTTTCCTCCTCCAAACCAGCGCATATGTCATATTCTCTACCATTTCAATTTCCTACCACCTTGCCGCACTATACATTCAAAAGCCATCTCCTTCTATGTCAGCTTGCCTGAATAGCAGAGGGGTTTGGGCGCTCGTTTTCAGATCATGAGAATAGTAGCTCAATCTCTCCTAGGCAATAAAATATAGCCAGGAAATTTTTATTCTACAACTTATTATTCATTTCTACCCCGCTCTTTGCAAGTTGTTCTCTCATCTATCCAGTTAATGAATTCCTCGCCGGATGAATCGGCAAAATGGTTTCTGGTAGTGAAGCAGAAGACGAAGGCAATCAAGAAGAGAACAAAAGTGGCAAGGGCTGGTTGACGATCACGATAATTTTCTGTATACGACACACGGACAACCTCAGCCTTCACAGGTCTGTTCTTAAATATTTCTATGAAAGTGAATTTTTGGTGGAGCTCAGCTGACGCTTTAAAAAGGAAGGTAATAAATATACGTCTCTCTTTTTCGCAGTGTTTCTTAACAATAAATATACCTCACCTCTAGAAAGCCAAAGTTGTGGTTTTCTTCATACTCTTCATTCAGGATCTTCCCTGCGAACAAAATGGAAGGACAATTCTTTTTTTTTCTTGTGAATATTCTAATTCTTCGCCCAACGCATAAGCATACCATTATTTATTTGGAGACTGTCAAATGTCCTGCATACTTTATGATGCGTTGTGCTGAAGCCTGAAAAGCATTCAGCCCGTATTTATTAGCGCTGTGAATGTAGTTCTGATTTATAAACTGTAAGCAAGAGTTCCTAACGCTGCTTGTAGTTTGCTTCTCATCCTTTGCCACAGTTTTCACGGATATATCTAACACATGCACGACATGGAAGGGTATAGCAGTCTTTGTGTTATGAGATATCGAAATGCACAAGAAGGTAAGCACAATTTCATTTTTTCGGCAGAGTGTACAAAAACCTTTCAGGACGCTTGGGCTTCACTACCCGCCACGGTGGTCTATTGGCTAAGGCACTCGGCTGCTAACCGCCGGTCGCGGGATCAATTCCCAGCCGTGGCAGCCCCATTCTCGATGGGGGCACAAGTTCTTGAGGCATGTGTGCTCAGATTTAGGTGCACGTTAAAGGAATATCAGGTGGTCGAAATTGCCGGCACCCTCCATTACAGCGTCTCTCATATTCATACGGTAATTTTCAGGCGTTAAACCCTATCAGTTATTGAAAAACTATGTTTTTGAGCTTCGTTTTCAAGAGCAGAACGCAATAGCGCGTATTCGGGCCCCGTGTGCATCACCTTCCCAATCTTTAGCCTAGCTTTGGTTCTGAGTGCATGCATGTACCATGCCTTGAGGAAACGAACGGCTGTGTACCCAACAGCGGCCGTTTTAGGCTACCTTATAGTGCGTGCTGTAAGCGCAGTTGTCAAGTGACCACGACGTCATAATTTTTGCTCTTGCGAATCATCTGATCACCCGCTACGCGTCCGTAGCGGTTAATCAGATGAGGGGGTAATGTTCATGTGCTAACTTACGCGTCCGTAAGGTAGCACGTAAACATACATTGCTGTTTTGTTTGTTTATGCTCTTGCAGCTGATGATTATTGAATATACTTGACGGCCTTGCGTTGAATGGGCCTTCAAAACACTCCCTCGTTAGCGTGTATTATTGCGTGGTGCGATTGCACTCATCTACTACGCAATATTACATGTGTTACAAAGACTCCTTTCATCTTAAAACATACTGTTTTGCAACTTCGTATACTGTTTTTAAACTAATTTTACGAGTCAACATCACGCAGATTATCATGATGAAGATCGTGGAATGATGACTTGTCATGTTGATGACACTCAAGAAAAACGTTTCTATGTTGTAATTATTATAGCGTCTACAGTGCCATAAAACCTTGGGCTGCATAAATCTTGGTAATTTGATGATTACGGAAAGCAACGTCCCCCTTCTCTCCCAATGTCTCAATCCTTTGAAGTTCTTTCATCAGAGGCTATTATTAAAATATATTCGAAAATATTTGGTATTTTGAATATGTACTATTCGATTCAAGAACTGGTCCAAATGTAAAAACTGTTTGTTCATGTGCTTAATAAAATTTATCGGATATTTGCACACTCCCAGTATAGACACTCTTGTAAACTGGTGCGAAATTGACCGCTATGGTTGAAGCAAAAAGTTGCTCGTTATTACAAAAGCCCAACACGCTACACTCACCTCGTGTTCTCACTTTACAACCCCACAAGAACACTTCTCTCGTCTGGTCTTCAATAGTCAGCTCGCCAGCCATCATGCCAGGTTGATCGTAAGCATCCATTTCAGCCATTAGCCTTTTGCATAAGGGATAAAATTCGTTGTTATATCAAGGTTCGGTGCATTCACATGCATTTAGTGCACGTGTTTGTGAATTCTGTGGAAAGCAGACAAGCCTCACGTACTTGTTGATGTCGTTCAGCATGTCAGCAGTTGTCATCTGGGCAAGGCTTTCTGCCAGCAGTGGCGCAGACAATTCAGCTGGTTGCTCCAGCGTGTGCGAATTCGCCGACCAGCTGCACAAGTATTATTGTAATGTTAAATCACTTATTGAGCAAATGCTAGGCACTGCAAATGTAATTATTTGGCTTTCTAATGAACCAGCCAATTGCAGTATGATATCCGCAAATTACTATTTTTTTAAATATTATGCACTCAGATTGATAAAACTACGATCATGCTTGAATGCATCCAGCATGGCACTATTATTAAGATGCAGCCTGATTAAGCTGTTGCCGCATGATTAAGGCCTTCGTTCGTAACGTAGTTCAGATGAAGATGGCTCGTGACATCGCAGCCGGTCACTGATTCGGCTACCTATGTTACTACAGAACTGTCTCCTCACACAAGCAGTCATTCTTGTGTGGTAATGGAGCGCTGCTGTTGCTATTCATGTTCTTGTAAAACAACGAACAACAAAATACCCACACAGTATAAAGTAGTCTTTGCACATTGAAATTTTATATTTTTCTCATTGTAACTGCTGTACACCGGAAAACATCGTGCCAGATGTCCAAGTATAGCTCGTTCTTTGCTGGGTCATTTATCAAAATTTTTATTTCCCTACAGCAATTGTTTCATAGATTTCTACAAAACACGCTAATTCAACTATGCTTGTCAGAGTTTCTTAAAAACTGACACTTTGATATTTACAACAAAGCAATATACACCGTAATCTTGTTATTTGTTCATGCAGTGAATCAAAGAATATAGTGTACGATGCTGGCAGCAATTTTCTTAACATAAAATATATTTCCAACAACGATTTCTTCACACATCTGGGAAATCAACCCTCGTGGGTGCAGCTGAAATTAGTTATGAGTAGATAGTAAAGATCGTATGTTCATATATGACGTCCACCGTAACTGAGTAGTGCCTGCCAGATGCTGAAAAAAGCTCCTCACTAGATGCAGTACAAGCATGCGTAGTATAAAGCCTCCTTTGAGGTCATGTTTTTAAGCAGTTTACGAAGTTTTAAGGATTCCAAATCTTCTGTTGGGTTCAAATGCTGCTCTTATTTGGCAATTCATTGCTGCAGAAGCCCACAGGACCGGGTAAGGCTAGAGAAAAAGAAGTGTTGTGTACCCATCTTTCGATCCTTCGTGACCCTCAAGAAATTTTTTTTCGCCAAGTGGAAGCTTTCCACTATGAGAAGTCACGATGATTTTATCCTGACCAAGGAGGTCTGTGAGGCCTTGTCCCTTTCATTCACTGTATTTTTATTCGGGGGATCTAAACATCAAATATAACACATTACGCAACAAGCACGAAACATTCTCGCTATGTTGTCCTAAAAACAAACAGTATTTGTTACTTACATCAACCCGAGTTTGACGTGCACTTCTGTTTCCTCCGAAAGTGTACTTGCCTCCACGGAGTGTTTCCTGCAAAGTGAATATATATGTATAGAGAGTTTCTAGTCTACTGGAGCAAATCGCGATGTACGTGTTTTGTTGGTGTACGGGCTGACCGAAACATTGTTCCTTGTGCAAAAGAAAATAGAATGGTTCTTCACAGCTCCAGTTTTATAGTACGCAATAATACGTACATCAGAAGATATCAGGTAAGTTTTTGCTACCACAAAATACACACATCATGAGCACATCTTACTTCTTCAGACTTACCACTAACCAGTTTCTTCTCACGAGAATGAAAAAAAAATTTGATCTTGAACTGGCCAAGAAGAGGGTACAACTCCTCCGATGCTTTTTTACAACATGATTCTTATAACAATTAATAATATACTAAGAAGAAACAGGAACAAAGTTTCACAGAGTATATTCCAGCAAACTACGGTTTGCAAATCACATCTTGTTCATCGAAAGTTGTGAAGACAAATGGTAAACAACTTTAGCGGCGTAAGTCCTGAAGTTGTTCAGTTTTAAATGAAGAGAATATCTGAAAGGCGTAAATAATATCGGAGGTCCGGTGAGAAAAGAAAATTCTACAATGGGCGAACAGACCCTGTAATCTGCCGAGTATTAGGCAACTTTAGGTCAATCACTAATAGAAGCTTTCTTATGTGAAGGCATTTTATTGAGGAAATGAGAGGACCTGAACGCATATACCACACATTCTAAAATAATTAGCAAACGCTTACCGCATAGTCTGAAGCCGAAAGTATAAGCAATTGTATTTAGCCAGAACTGACATAGGTGGCAACAACTAAAGGATAACTAAGAAACACCAAAAAACTTGAACGCCAGCTTTAGTTTCGCATATCAGATTGCCTTGTCATCGCTTCATCAGGCCCCTATTGTACCACCTTCACATTCGCTATCCAGCCTTTCCTTCTTCGTGCACACGTCTAGCATGCTGCGAAAAAAACACCAGGCCTGCGCGGAACGTGCACCACAGTCACAGCAAAGTTATAAGAGTGGCCTTTCACATCTTTTTCTAAACACTGTTTGGTTGTCTGCTACAAGCACACTTGTTGGATACCCACTACGCTATAAATAATCATAACGTTTGTGTAGTAGGCCAGCATTCACTATGCTATATCCTTCCCGCTAAATCGCCATTCTTAGGGGAATCGTGGTATCCGCTACACACTCGCTAGAAATTTTTGTACAATTTTATTATGCAGTGGCTGACGACGATGAACAATTATACCTGAAGTGGTTATGCACTATGTGATCAAGAATAAGTTTTGTAATGGGTTGGATCATTGGACGACCCACTCAATACGCAGTCTTTGTTGTGTGACGCCTGGCTAAAGTGAGCTGGCCTGGCTGTTCCTTTGATGTTATAAAACGCTTTATGTGTCATGATTACGCGATTCTTTTCCCCACATCAAGCCTGCCTAAGGTTATTATAGAAACGAGTTTCAAGCACTGGCGTGCCTCAGTTGTAGAATACTGGGATGACACGCAGTGGACCCAAGTTTGAATCATCTTGTGTCATATCCTTCATATCCTTCATATACTTCATATGAAGGATTTTTGTTTACAAAGTTTTGTTTTCTTTCGATATTGGTTATGGGCACCGGCGGAAGCGACGGCTGCGGAAAACACTGGCGCCGAGTGTGACCCATGTTCTGATCTCATAACAGCTTTCACTGTAAAAGTGTTTTTATTGTTCATGGCCGATTTCTCACCAACTGTCCCAACCACGGCACTCGCCAAAAATTTATTTCGATCAAATAGATTAAGAAAATTACACGCATATACACAGTACTTCAAAAGTATTTCTCCCCAAGATATTTTGAGCAGAAAAACATTTTGCGCCCGTCACCACTATTTAAATTTGATGAAATGTTGGAAGAAGAGGGAGAAAAAAACTCGTTATAAATTGACCGTATCGCAGATTCTTTCATTATTTGCTTTTCTGTGTTTTAGAGGAACTTGCTTGTATTATAAAACAGTTTCTCAAGATTGCTTAAACTTTTTCACTTTCGAGAACATGTAGAAAACCCAGCCAACTGTAGTGTATTCGAGAATTTTTTCACAAAACCCAACCATCAAAAAAATGCATAGATTACTTCTGTCAAACTCTGCATCAAACGTACTATTTACAAATATTCTTATTTTACTGTTGTGCGGCACATTGACTCTAAATAAAATCCTGAACTTGGCGAAATAGCCACTTTGGTGTAAGTTGAGGTGCCAGGAGCACCATCATGTGGTCCAAGAAATATCAGGACAAAGGCGTTTATAATTTAGACTTAGAGCGTTTTTGTTCACAGAACATTTATACGAAGTAAGTTTTGTTTTAGTGCAAAAAAACATTTTTTTCTAAATTTTTATTCCCACCATTGCATTGCTTTGGCGTGGAGGCAATATGAGCCAACTAAATTCACTGCATAAAAAGAGTTGTAGTGAACTTAGAACACATAGTTAAAAGTTGTTTTTGTTAGTACCCTATTTCGTATACCACATATATAGAGGTGATAATAAACAGGGGTAAATATATAACAATACGAATGAATCGAACGTCACTGTGCTCCCAATAATGAATCGGGAAGGAGTGGCGAAGCACTGCACCTACCCCCTCCTACACTCTTCCCACACATGCGGGAGCTCCACCGATTTCCGCGAAAGAGAGCGAGAGAGAGGAAGAGAGAGGTTCAGGAAAGGAAAAGACGCAACTTCTGCCGCTCTAATTGGGAGCACGGCTCAGCGCCTGTAAGGGGGGGGGGAGAGAAGAGGGCATTAAAGACGTGAAGAAGAGAGAGGAAGAAGAGAAACGGCGTCCATGACCGAAGACATGGCGGGCGGCTTCAATAGCAGGTTGTCTAGTCCAGTGTCCTCAAGGAAGCGAAGAACCATCTTGAAGACCTGGGTGTGGTGCTGTGAAGGAAAGAGAAGGTACCCCTGTGTAGCCGCGGGCAGACCATGGCGACGGAGTGCGGCGAGCAAAACGCTGCGTTGTTTGCGAAGCGCTGGACAAACACACAACAGGTTCTCGATGGTTTCACCTGGCCCGCACACAGTGCACGCAGGGGACGAGGCACTGCTAAACTGATGACGCCAGGCAGCAGGCCAGGAGCAGCCGATGCGCAAGCGAAATAGCAGAGGCCTCTCCCTCCTGGTGAAACACTGGTCAGGCAGCCGGGTTTGTGATTCCATCCTTGCCATACGGTCGTCATGGTGGCAGCATAGCAACAGCCTCCTCATTGTGAGCGTTGAAAAGTCTGAGGTGACCATGGTGCGGCACACAGGGAAGGCGAGTGATGTACTTCTTTCGCGAGGGCGTAAGCCTGAGCGTTTTACTGGATTCCCACATGAGATGGGACCCAGTGCAGAGAAACATCGACGCCACTGGCAAGGACGGCATGCAGTTTGGTGACGAGCACCTGCGTTGAGAATTCTGCCTGTTCCGACTTCGCCAAGGCCAGCAACGCAGCTATCAGGTTCCCGCGTTGCGAGCGCCCTCACACGCCAGAGTGCGCTCCTGATCTACACTCATTCTCGGCTCTTCCACCAGCACGACCTGCTAAGCTTGCTAGGAGTGAGAATAAGCACGTGTGCGCCTGCGGCTGTTGATATGGGAGAGGGAGTGAGAACGAGGAGACGCCACCTGCCGGCACGCGGACACCGAAAGACACCTGACATAACCCGTCTAAAAAGAAGCATTCACATTTAAAATACGTCCTCTGTATCTACCACTGTTCTCTCAGAGTGTTCTTGGTAAAGTGCTGTAACGCACCGTGACCACAGCATCCGCCATTAGTTCGTTGAAAAAGTCGTTTCTAAGCGTCCCTCCTATTCAGCGTGTTTTCAATAGGAGAAGTGCAATTTTGCCAATGCCTTACACACCACCAGGTAGCGACCTTGCTCCAAGCATTGGCGTCGCTCATAGCATCCCTCCATTACAGCGTCATGTGAGACACTGTCCGGCTTTGCCTGGCTCTAACACCGCATTCGCTCGCCTAGCGAATATAGCGGCCGGGCAAAGGCAAGACGTGACGCGCGTTGCGTTTCGCTCGGGGATGTCAGTGGTGTTCATAAATCGAGCCTGCCACGAGAAGCTGGTGCTGATCAGTCAGGCCTAAGGTGCCTACATGAAACTTGTGTCATCTAGGGGACCTTAATCACGCTCTTCTGATGATCACATCGCTTTTTCTGGTTCCGCCCTCACTACAGCTACCACGAGCACCTATGACAACAAAGGTTTGTTTAATAAGTAGTGATGGGTGTCAGTAAGCGTCAACTTGGATGCATCCACGTTTGTCGGTGATGTCAACACAAATATACATTGCACAAACCATCCCAATTATGTCGATGAACAGTAAATATTCAACTACTTCTGTAGGACACGTTATACTCCCGTGTTTTACCGATTCCTATAACGGAGGCATCAACCACGTTTTTCTTTTACTAACTCATTTATTTTCAAACTCTACTGCACAATCCGCTCTCTCTTCGCTGCTCTTTATGCCAAGCCCTATTGCCAGCTTTGCTCACACTACCGACTAAGGGTCGATTCGATGGGGGTTTGATTGTCTCCAATAGGATGCACCCATATCGATCCATTCAAAAAATGGCAGCATATCCACGGAGTGAATGATGGATAGTGGGGCGAAGCATCCGTCCATCCATTCGTTCTTGCTTCCATCCATCCATGCGTGCGTCTGTGTGGCCGCCCATGCGTCCAACCGCCCGTCCGTGCGTACGTATGTTCGTGCGTCCGCACGTTCACCGGTGCGTCCGTCCCTGCTTTCGTCCATGCATCCGCTCCTGCGTCCGTCCATGCGCCCATCCGTCCATGCAGCCATTCCTGCGTCCGTCCATGCTGTCTGTGTGTCCGTTCGTCCATCTATACAACACTGCAAGTACCACCATCTCTCATGTTTTGATCATATATTCCTCCTATAGAAGCACCGCCATCCAGCGTACATTCCAAGGACTGAACGAGAGGAAGCACACGCACACTTTCTTACGGCTTGCGCTTCGTGTCTACTTCCCACCTTTGACCACCTCGAGTTCATGGTATATACTAGTTCAAGGTATTCATGGTACTGCGGCCTAATGCTCGCTAAACCTTTCTAAAACCTAGGAGGTTACGCCCAGCGAGCATAGCTTAGCAACCCTTTCTTGTCTTATGTGCGTTGCTGAACAAAAAAACGTTCGCAGCGTGCGCGTTAACTAAAAGCCAAATTCTCCTGTCTCTCATTCCCCCTTAGCAGCCATTGGCATGCACATTGAGCACTATCTTTTATTGTTCAACAACGCACAGAAGAAATCTCTCATCTACACCACCTTGTAGGTCAAAATGTTATACTTGTTACATACTACAACGGCTACGAGAGATAAACGTGTGCCGCTATAAGGAGTTTCGCCCCTAAAAACCTACCTTATTCCTTACTTGTGCCAATATTTTCCTGCTGATAGCGATAAATTTGAGACGCCCAGACCGAATTATCCGCATGGTCGCTATATACTTGCCTGAGCAATCCATTGAACGCCACGCGCCAGCGACGATTCGGAGCCAAGCACTGCAGCCGCAGACCAGCTGCGGAGAAACAGCTCCCGGCACTCCGGTCTAGTGTAAGCGTGGTGGGCAGCTTGTATCGAGTGCCGTCCGAGGTGTACAGTGCGAGCCATAGCTCGGCGACGTGAGTGGACAAGCGCGACACGCTGACCACCAGACGATCTCCATCAGAGTTCACACCGTAGAAGAAGACGCTGTCTTCGCTCTGCAAAATATACGCCGCTATGAGACACTAGAATATGCTTTTTTTTTCTGGCTGTGGTGGCAAAGAACACTTGGTTGAAATTAGGGCCTGAACTCTTAGCACAGCTTGCCTCATATGAGATGCGGGAATCGCATCTCGAGATGATCCCTTTCGGCGACAGCGCCGCTTCGCGTGATGTGGAGTGTGGCAAGGCAAACGACTTGGCCCATTCTAAACCACGTTCCCGCAACCAGCCAAACATCAAGCGTGCAGTCTTAGCGACCGCCCTTTGCCACCTCCAGAAATTATCATCTCGGAATACGACTGCAGCTTTTGGCGCGAAAAGCACCAGAAACTACAATTGTCCTTTTACATAAGGTTTACGTCATCTGTTTTGCACTAAAGCCGAACGCGCTTACCTTCTCTAGTTCTGGCTTCGGGCGAGGACACTCGCAGTCCCATTCCGCGGGTGCACATACGGCGCAGTTGCTCACAATGTCATCGTATTTTTGTGGCTCTACATATTCAAACTGTCGACCTTTTCTTCGCAGAAGGTACGCCAACCGTGCTGAGGCCACCAGGTAGCGAAACAGATACACCACTCCTGTAACGAAATTTTTTGTAAATACTCGTTTCATTTTCTTTTCTTTCAGATGTGATTTCACATCGGAATCTCTCCGTATTATTGCCGATGGCGCGAACAAAACTTAACCAGCGCTGACTCTTTGAGACAGTGGCATAGAAAGACTTGACGAGCAGTTCAGCACCCGTTCTGTGATGTCTTTCTGTGCCACTTTCTGGAACAGTTAGCACTATAGTTAGCTCTAATAAAGCAGAAATCTATGCGTTTCTAAGCACCATCTTTAATGGCAGTGAAGGCGAAAAAGAAATAACTGTTATTCGTCACTTACATATCTGTCTTCAAATATTGACATGTTGTATATAAGTTAGTCCCTTCTTATATTAATACTTCAACGGCAGCGACAATATTTCTTTTCTCTTTTTCTCGTTGTTTCCTCTGATCTCCGCCCTTTCCCCACCCTTCGTGTACTGAGTAGGCAACCAAACCTACCTTGGTTAAGCTTCCGGCCTTTCTGCTTTATTGCTCTCTCTTGCTCTCTCTACATTAGCTGTGATGGCAACCTTTGTGTTCCTATTGTGAAGCTTGCCAGACACATTCAGTTAAACACCAATTACATGTTTGTCTCATTAGCCATGCTAACAACCGCTAATGTAAATTGATTGGATTTGTAAAGTATAGTAGATATTATAAAGCAATTTATTCAGCGTGCACTTTCAGTGCGCAATAAGTGTACTTCTATTTTCGAACTAAGTGTTGTAAGTTGAACAAGCACTTTTTACCCAAAACTCATTAGAGTTGCCCAACTTACTGGGAGCGAACTTCGACTATATACCCTAATACGAAGAATGTTTCAAATGAAACGTCATCTTGCACGAAATCGAATGTGCCAACGGTAACATACAGTATACAAGGTAACATAGCTTTCGATTTATTCAGCAGGTACTTGTGCACGTCAACAATTACTAAGCAAGTCATATTCGCAAGCATCTATTATCATGCTTATCACGAACGCCCACTCCTGACAAATATCTGACTATGACGTCTACCTGGCTTAGTAGTCGTCTTCCTCGCCGTTGATGATAGGCGTGCGAACAGACTGGGGAATAGGAGGCTGTAGCCGCCTTTTTAATGATATAAAGGGGGATGCCAGTTCTGTGCTGCACCTCTGCTCAGTAAAGAAGTTATCACCTTATTCTTTATGTGCATCTTTTATGAACGTAATGGTGACCAACCACACGCGACGTTGCACTGACTCAAGAAGTGTTGAAAAGTGCTTCTCGAAGCCTATTTCATTCAAAGTGCTGTTTACTTTCCATTTTTACTCTCGAATAGCTGAGCACAGGCGGCAGGCCGTTTAAAGAAACAAATCATTGACACATTTTCAATTTTTTAACTACGGTGGCGTTTTTTTTTTAAGCTAGAACAACTGGTGGGAGGAAGGGGAGGGTGTGCTTCAGTGTCCCCCCCGCCCATGGCACACCACCTTGTTCGGCACGGATGACCATGCACGTACACCCTTCACCTATGATTATCCTCACAATTACTAATTCCGATTAATTTTTTCCGTATAGCGTGTACGAGTATGGCAGTGCACGAACACGCAGATGTGATTGAAATATGGGTTTTTCTGTTGCTTCTTTCTTTTTTTAGGGGTGTAAGTATAAAGAAGTTAGTGCCACTGCTTGGCTGTGCCTACTCCTCCACTCTCACAATACGGTTGACGGCATAAAGTGCAAAACAATTACAAAGCTAGATAAAGGCACCATAATACAACATTCACGCAGTCATTGTTCTTCAATACAAACATCTGTCCACGCAACAAAAAAGTCGGCAAAGCACAGCTATGCACGCAATTGATATGTTCCTACAAAACTCGAAACTTTGCTAAAGTGTTGTTCTCTTAGCAGTCACGTCACTCCGGAATTATCTCTTGAAATACCACACTGTAACCGCGACAATAAGGTTTCACCTTCACAGAGAATTCTCCGGTGAAACTAAAACACTGCAATACTGCAGCCAAGCACAACGAATAATATTAACACGAAATTTCCCGCACTTTAGTAGTTTCGTGACTTTTGTGATTCCTCCGAAAAATATTCTATTGTGTAGTCAGCCATATTCTGTAAATTATCACTCGGCCATGGGCCTAAGACTTTTGCAATTATTGGGAGCTTTTTATCAAAACCATTTATTTTATTTGCCTTCGTTGAAGCGGGTATAAGTGATCCGCGGTGCCCCACCGCAGTGTTCTAGTGGCTGGGGTACTCGGCTGGGGACCAACAGGTTGCGGGATTGAATCCCGGCTCCGGCAGCTGCATTTTCGATGGAGCCTAAAATGCTGTAGGCCTATGTGCTCAGATTTGAGTGTACGTTAAAGAACACTAGGTGCTCAAAGTTTCCGAAGCGCTCCACTACGGCGTCTCTCGTAACCATATGGTGGTATTGGTACGTTAAAACCACATATCCATATCATTCGGAGTAACCCTCTCTTTATTTCAGCAACACAAAGCATTCGGTTGGCCAGATGAAGTTTAAGAGAGTTATTACGTGAAAGCGGTAATTACTTGGGAAACAATTTTCACTGTGTCATTGTAATGCTGTCGCCTAATTTTTTACAAAATAAACCTTACGCTATAGCATATGCATATATATGTCTGGGAATAAAGCTACCATATAGCTGCGTAATTTACACGTACCTGAAAACACTGTCCCCTCCATTATTGTATTTTGCACTATGAGTTCCGGATATACAACAATATCGCCGAGCTCGAAAATGTATTTTTTTACTCGTCACCAGGGCCAAGAGGGCAGTAGAAGCCAGAGGGTTCCTGGACTAAGGAGGCCTCCCACCTCAGGCTGACACCGGGCATTGCTCGGGGCACTGTTTCAAAAATAAACGTTCACTTCTTTCTCTCTCTCTCTCTCTCTCTCTCTCTCTCTCTCTGCTGGTTGTATTACCTGATGTCTGCGCTTTGGAAAAATCTCTAAAAGTGTGCGTGTAGTGCTTGCATTGTTGCATGTGCAAACAGCAGTTACCTTTTTATCGCACGCGAGCGCGAGTTGATGATATCACTCTTGCATTAGATAAAGGCTGCGTAACGTCACCAAAAAGGACAACAGTTGGGCAACTTCTAGTAAAGTGTTTTGGCCACACGCGCCCGATAGAACTGATAAGTGGCGTCCGTACCATTAACAAACATCCTATAGACGATCCAGTGCGATGAATCTCGGTTTCCATTGTTCTGATCCCTGCGCCTTTATCACTAAGTGCCCGGTTTTGTTTGTTTTTTCTTTCTTTTGGACGGTTGGTGCGACCATGTGAGACAAGAGTGTGTATAAAATACGCGATACGGAGTCAAAACCAGACACGAAGAAAGACGACCTCTGCCGATTACCTGAATGTACTTGGTCGGGTCAATTCGGTTGCAGCCGGATGTGACCATTTAATGTATTTTCAACGACTCATGCTCATGCAAGACCGGCGTTTTTCCTTTCCAGCGGCACTTTCCTCCGAGGGCATCGCTAGCTTTCGTGCGAAGGTCATGAATACATCTGCGTACTGTAAAGCGGCACGCATAGCTCTTCATTGAAGTAGGCTACCAACATCTTCCGGAACAAATAAACTTTTCGAATTCTTTTTAGCAAATTCTTGGACATTCGGAAGTTTTTTCACGGAAAAGCCCGTTGCTGCTTCAAGCTTACCTGGCCGCTCCCACATTTTTTCATTGACTGCGTTTCTAGAATATCAGGGGTAAATTTAATATCAAAGCTTTCATGCCTAGAACTTCTACAAAAGCAGGCACAGAACAGCAGATGACAGTCGTAATTGGTTGCTTATTAACCTCTATATACGTATTCACTTAAAAGTATTAGTCTTGCTAGTTTAATTTTATAAAAGACTGCATAAATAACACATGCAGATCGTAGCTGCGCAATTAGACCTTGTGAAAAATTCTCATTTGCCTTGATTTCTTAAGCAAGAGATAAGCTAATAATTCTAGTATGTTTTCAGAGCTTGTGATGATGCGATTTACGCCGCAAGTCATGTTCACACGCTGGTGCCTTTGTTCGTGTGCAGAATTCATTGAGGTCAGAGAAAAAAAATAAAGGTTTAATGCACATATGTGGCAGCTTGATGAACGTTTGCTCCACAACGCTAAGAATTTCCGTCGTGAACTATCTCGAAGATCGTGCGAATAATATTGAAATCATTGTGAAACAAGAAGCAAAGTTTAAAGAAAGGAAGCTCCACAACGGCGCGGAATGTCACGTGATGCTTGCAACTACGCAGCGAATCAGTGGCTCTCCCTGTTGATGACATGCCTAATGAACCGAAGCGCGCCTCCCTAAGTTACCGTTTATAGATACTTTTTCAGTTTCGGAACTCTCCACTTCGTCTTCGGGGAGCACGCGGCTGGCTGCTGTTCCCGCCACCGCGGCGCTGCAGGCAAACTTTGCGCTGAGCAAACGACGGTCGTCTGCTACAGCTAAGCGCGGGGTGCAGGTGAGCCGCACTTACATAACACCGCAACTTCTTGGTTTAGGAACGAGGAGCATAACGTAGAGCCTAGATGCATGTGCGGCGTCTTTTTATGTCCTTGGTGAAAATAATCGCTCGCGTAGCGTAGTGCTAGACAAGCATTTGTCAAATAAAGAGCCGTTTTGTCGGCCCGTAACTTCTTGTTCTTCCAGGTAGTAGAGAGAAAAATTTTGAGCTCAGTTGTATTAGAAACGTCTTACCGAAGCCGTGGTAAAGGCTGTCACTCATATGGTTCCAGCTTAGTTGTTTAGAAGCTATTTTTGCATGTCTCAGCATAGGAATTTTCAACGTTGTGCACATTAACGTGCACAGCAAAAAGCACCTTGGCAGGCTGTCCCCTAAAGGCTGTTGAAACCAAGCCATTACTGTAAGGTGTTAGCCACATTTAAAATCCCACTGAAACGACGCTATTTTCTGTTCAGCTGGTATATAAACCAGTGCACTTTCTTCTTCTGAAGTAATCGTATATGGGTGTCTGAGTGTATAATACTTAGGATGATTAAAAATGCAAAGTTTGTGAAAATATAAAGACATCATGTGTTGACACAAAAACACTTGTCACTGTCACACACAGGTTATGAGCATCCGGATTTCGATTTCAAATAAGCGCATAGCTGAATTCCTCTAACAATTCGGGCTTGTGAGAGGCAAGCAAACCATAAAACAATCTGTTCCGTACATATATCCATTCGGTCAATTGTTGCATGATGGATGCACTATGAAAGGACACTTTCTGCCCTTCAGGTATATCTTCAACTAGATCAGTGAGAATCGCTCGGGATGCAGTCTTCTTTTTTTTCACTCAGCTGGCGTATCTCAAGTTTCCTCCGTTCTCGAGCGGCGGGGGCACAGATCAAGCGTTTCCTCAATTCGCTGGTTGCAATCTACACATTGTTCTTGGTTGTTTTTGTCATTCTATTTTTTTCTCACTGTAACCGCTAAAATGACACAAGACACACATACGTCTGTTAGCACCAGTCATGCCCACACGGTTCTTGAAATGGATATTTCTTAGCGGCGCACTTTCTCCTTTCGCCGTGCCAGTAGATGTAATCTGAGAAATCTGTGTTATAGAAAGTTATTACCGAAGGTTTTTCCGCCTCCTCAAAGACCACCGAAATCTAGTTTCAGGGATGTTGAAGCACACTTTTTTTTTCCGTCGCTCAGAAAAACTGGAGTCCTCCGAAGGAGCGGAGACTTCTTGCCGGTATTATACTGGCAGATCGCGAGGCAGCAGTAGTTAGTTGTTGTACAGGCACACTTTATTTTGCGGCTTCATTACAGTTACACTGGGAAATTCGGAAATAATCAAGGAACTTCATTACTCCTCGATGTCCATGCACCTTGGCCGGTTTAGACTTCTCCATTTATGATATGCCTATATGCCTTCAGGATGTCACTTTCTTGAAAGTAAACATCGTCCATCTTGCGCGTCTTTCTCAGACTTTTTCATGAATCTTGCCCGCTTCAGCAGTAACAGATCGGGTCGAACGGCGGGAAGAAGTGGCATTTTTAGGGGCTTTTCCTCTACCCGCCGGTGCGCCCGGTCACCAAGCACATCGTTACGATGTCCGGATGGTCTGAGCTATGGCGCAAGGGATAGCAGCAGCAGTATAATTAACCTCGAGAGACATACTTATGTTCTCGATGCGTGTACACATGGTCAATTCTTAGATCGCGCCCGTGATGTCAACCATCGGAGAGTTTCCTACGTCGTGGATGTCTGAGTATCTTCGTGACTGTAGGCGCGCAATTGTATTCAGAAGACCGTGTAGCATGTCATTCGACGAGACATACACACAGGAAAAAAGTGCGACCAAACACCGACACGGAACGCGCGAAAATGCAGCGGCAGTGAAGCCAGCGGGAAGCAGCCGGTTACTTGGCGCCAAGTTAGAGTGCAGCACTTTCACACTGCCTAAGAGCAAATCGCGCCCGCCGCGAAAGAACGAGTTCGAAAACTGAAAAAAAGTGTCTATAAACGTTTCCCTAAGTAAATGATGCCGCCATGATCGCTGCTTATGAGGAACAGTTATTTCAATGCAGTCGGAGTAGAACTTTCGGGCGTGCACCATGTGTTCACTTACATCCCTGTCGTCCTCAGAATGTAGAAGAGAATATATGCAAAAAAAGAATGCATGAATAATAGATAAGAAAACGAAAGGAAACAAAAGGAAAGAAAGGAAATAAGTAGAAAATAAGGCAAAAAGAAATAGAAAAAACAGAAAAAACAAGAAAGAAAAAGAAAATATACAGAAAAAAAACGATACTTTTGTTTTATGAAAGGAAAAGAGACAATAGAGCAAGAAAAGCAAAGAAAAAAAAGAAAGGGATAGAAATTGAGACAGAAGAAAGAAAACATTAATTTATAAACGAAAAAAAAGGAATAGAACGATAAAAAGGAAAGAAAAAAGTTAAAGAAAAAATTGTGAAAACTATATACACTGTATTTACGAAGGGTAAAATTCTAACAAATATCGAGGACCATCTGTCACAATTCAAAGTTTTGTTCCTCAGAATTGGAACCATGCGATTACATCTATGAAGTTTAGGGAAAACTTCAATGAATACTCACAAGTCATTCACTAATATTCATCCACGTACCTACTCTACATCGGCTACTAAGAAAAAAGTAATGAAACTAATATGAAAACTAACTTGAGAATAACGGGGCGTAGAGAGGGGGGGTAGTATTCAGTTTTACATTTCGTAAGAGTTTAAATCAACAGGCAACTCCTACTCTCACAAGAGACAAGAAAAAAAAACAACTCCAAGACAGCACCTTTAGGCTGCGCATCGCGCGAATTCGTCACTGAAGATTAACTCGGTCAAGTATATAGCGGCGAGAACAACATTGTAAATCAAAACGAAAGTTTTTTTTGTTTTTTTTTGTTTTTTTTTTTTGTCGTCCAGTTTGACAGGGGGTGGAGTTTGCTTCTCTTGCAGATCCTTCCCCCTCAAAATTTCACTTGGCTCTGCCCTGTTCATTTTTGTTTTCTGAGTGGCATTGCCTGCTATATGTTTATGGTGCGGGCTGAGGATTTTTTTGCATACCTTACAATAAAGAATTTCGTTCTATGTATACTTTACTAAGAAATGATCGCTTCAGGATATAGTGCTGGGCTAATAAATCATGCATTATTTAACATAAAATACCGAGTCTCTTGAGTATATCTCCCGCACTTTGACTTCATGCAGTTGACAAGCTGACTTTCCTGAATATTTTCATTTAAAATAATTTTTATAGCAGGCTTCCTTTGCATAAACCCATCCCACCCGACTCAAGAAGGTGTTCGTGGAACCAAACTGGAGCGTCATAATGCAAGGCTGCTTTCAGAAAAGAACATGTTGGGACGTTTGCTAACGCTTTCTGCACGCACAAGGCCACGAACTTCCTATTCAGCTACTTGACAGCGAGCGGGCTTTGCGAGTGTCTGGGACGTAGCAGCCAGTGATGTGTTTATTCGCACTGAATGTTAACCTATTTCTTTTTCTTTCCCCCATTCATTCTTCTCTATATTATATATTATGGCTATTTTCCGCCATGCCACATCTAGGGTAGCCAAGCGAACTAAAGTTTTGTTAATTGTCTTTCCTCTTTGTGTTTTCTCTTTTGTTTTTTCGGGGAGATTGGTTACGTCCACATCTATTGCGCTGGCAGACAAATCCTTTTTTTTCTTGTATTGGTACAAGTTTTGCTGTTATGTTATAGATAAAACTTCTTTTTCTGTCTGAAAGTCACCAAGTTCAAACTGCCAGGCCACTCAATGAAATAAAGTAATCTTTCTTTTCTGTATGGGTAACATCGTAAGCGAAAAAATGAATAAATGAATGATCGTTCTGCTCAAATAGATGACCAATGCATAGACTTAGTGATAGTCTCAGCCGACTAATATATATATATATATATATATCAAGCGGAATAAGTTTCACGGCCTTCAACCCCGTAACATTAAACTTCTCTTGTCTTTTTCGCATTACTGTACTCATCTCAAAATCTTATGAACTCATGCACACATAATAGATGTACATTTCCAGCTTTCCGATTTTTTTTAAATGTGGAAGTTATAAAAATTTTAGGCTGCCCTGAAAGCTATTTTATCTGCTTTCATTTGTGTTTTCTTAATTTATTATCTTTCTTATCTATCTTCCTCTTCCGCCCCGATTAATGTCTTGAG